TACTATCTTAACATTATTTGACTTCAGTAAAGCCTTCGATACCGTAAACCATATCATTCTTCTAGCCAAACTCAAACTGTTAGGTTTCTCTGATAATTCATTAAAATGGATGAGATCATATCTTAAGAGCCGAAAGCAGTGTGTTTCTCATGACAACTTGACGTCCGACTGGAGACATGTTCCCTGCGGAGTTCCCCAGGGTTCAATTCTTGGTCCTCTGCTTTTCACCATTTACATCAATGACATCAGTACAGTTCTACACCACGCAAAGTTTCATTTGTACGCTGACGACTTGCAAATCTATTCTCATTTTAAAGTGAGCGATGCAAATGAAACTATAAACATGATGAATCACGACATCAACATAATTGTTCAATGGGCAGAAAAGAACGGACTTAGACTCAATCCTGACAAAACAAAGCCAATCATCATAGGTCACTCACGGTTACTCAACAAAGTGGACTTAGACATTTTACCAAAAATCACTGTAAACGGAACCACTTTGCAATACCAGGACAAAGTAAAAAGTCTTGGTTTGACTCTAAACCGCACACATTGGACTGGACTGACGCGGTGGTAAGCACTTGTAGAAGAGTGTTTGCCGCTGTTCACACACTGAAGAAGATGCAACGACTTCTACCTTTTCACATTAAACTCTTACTGGTCAAATCACTCGTGTTTCCACACCTCAACTACTGCAACACCGTGGTTAATGATATGACTGTGGCTTTGGCAACAAAATTACAACGTGTACAAAATTATTGTGTTCGATTCTTGTTCAATCTTAGGCGTGATGACCATATCACACCCTATTACATTAATGAATCAATTTTGAAATTAGAGGACGTCAGAAAAATACGAATACTTTCCATTACTCATTCAGTCATCAATCTTGGAATTCCAAATTATCTTGCAAAGAATTTTAAATTTTTGAATGGAAGAGGCGCAAGGGATACCCGCTCTGGCTCGTCCACGCTTCGCATTCCTCATCATAGAACAACTGTTTATAACAAATCATTTTAGTAACAGCCTGCCGCCTATGGAACTCCATACCTCTGCCCATCAAATCTAAAGAAAACCGATCCCGACTGATGGTGGCGCTGAAAGAATATTACCTTGACCGGATGGCCGTGGCTTGGCGGGATGGCGTGCGTTAGGCCTAGATGCAGCAGAGGGTGTATGTGTGTAAGACTGGATGTTAGGGAAAATGAATAGATTTATGCTATTATATTACTAGCTATGTTACAAACTTAATTGTATTTTTTGTTATTCTTTTGTTGTTATTATTAGTTTTTTAGAGGTTAACTGTAAGAAAGGACCATGTGGTCCTAAGTTCGCCTCAATAAAGAAGCATTTTCATTTCATTTCATTTTTAATTTCATTTCATTTCATTCTTATGGAGGAAAACGGGGTTTTTTTCACAGCTAATTTGACAGAACGGCTGGGCGTAGAAACTTGGTAGGCGTCTCTAAAGAAAGGTCTTTGTCTGTAGATGAGCCATCAAAAGAGGAAAGAGGTAAATTCCCTTGGGGCTCTGCCCCAGAAGCCTTTAAAGTTGCCTCTTCAGATTTGTTTACATTACGACCATATGCATAATTCTACACTACTTTTTAATGCAACAGCTGTTAATATTTAAATTGTGATTTATTGAATTTGTCAAAATGAAGTAGGTACAGTATTTGCAATGGATTTTTCTGATTTTAAAATTGATTTTTTTCTGCATCGTGTCATGTTTTGCAATATTATGTTCTTATTACCAAATCAGTGGAAAATCCTAATATCACAGTAACTTTTAAAAATATTTCTTATGGAGTTCACTTATATCTATATTGTATGGGTTGGTTTCTGCCTTTTTTACCACTTATTGGAGATTGTACGTAGGTGATATTCTTTGGCATATTGCATTTGTAGACGAAACTTGGGTTGGTGTAATTATTACAATGGAAGAGAGCGAGAAATCCTGGACAATTTGATATAGGCTAAAAATAAAACTAAATTAACACTGTGCTACATTTCTTGAGCAATCATTGAAATAACCGATTTGCAAACAATGGAAACATAGAAAAAGTCATAGAACACAACAAAGTAGAAGAAATAAAAATAATGTTTTTTTTACACTAAACGAATTCGAGCAACAGGTACACTAGTTGACAAACTTATGGGAGAAAGTATGTGTCATAATGCTGATACCGTTTATTTACATAATCCAGAGTGTAGTTTAGATTTTTAGTACTAATCTAATGAAACATTCGAGTGACTCCCGAAGGGGAAAAAGAGGTGCAGTTCAAACAACTTAGCATTGTCCCAGCGAACTGCACATGTCCGAGAGAGTGTCAGTGTATCTGCTTTTACATTCTCCCTACCAGGTCGGTACACTATTTCATATTGATAAGGTGTTAGCTCTAGTCGCCATCTCATAACTTTGTCGTTTTAGCGAATTTCCCCTATAGGGAATAAGCTGGCGTCATCCTGTAATCCAGCTACTAGGAGGTCACGAATTGTGGATATTTATAGGCATACACTGTGGATGCGATACTCCCTCGTGTGGATTAACGTCCGCACGAGTGAGTACTACGACTATCCGCAGTACTATCCTGATAATTAGACCAGTTCGTATATACCAAGGAAAAATGCGGTTCGGATTCCACTATAATCTGTAGGTCCCTTAGTTGCCATTAGCTGTTTGGGCTATTAATTAACAGCTGTGTCTAAGGAATGTCGGCCTTAGTCACTAACAAGACTACAAGATCGCGCCACTCATTCTACACTCATCTCCATTCATACTTGGCTTAAAATACCTACTATGTATGGTCGCCATTTCAATGAAAAGTATTAAAGTAAAAGTATTACCGTAGTACTCATGGTAAAACCTGGACCCCGGACCCATTTACTTTTTCGTTTTGAGGTCCCTAGAGACCAAAAACACCATCCGTTCAAATTCATATATATAGCCTATATATGTGTCCGTCAACGCGATAACTTGAGCAAAAATCATCCGATTTTGATGAAATTTGGTACAAAGGTGTAAAGCTACGTTTATTCGAACGAGTTCGCGAACCAGCATGATCGGACTATGGGATCAGGGGTTTATGGGGGGGTTTTATGGGGCAAAAATTGGTAATTCCCGTTTTTGACCCTAAAAACTTAAAATTTAGCACTTTCTTTCCAAACCATTTTGTAGAGCTTAAAAATAAAATAATTAAGTAGGCCTATATTGAATTTTATGTGTCTAATGGTTACAGAAAAAATTCCAAAAAACTGTAAATTTAAAATTCCCATGTTATTCTCATGGAGAATAAGTTTCAAACTGTTGTAGTTTGCTTGTTTATGATCATATTTTGATCAAATTTGGAAAATGTATTCATTTCATACTAAACTATTAACATTTTACAAACGGAACACCTTTTTGCAAATAATGGTGCAAACATTTTTCCACGCTCTCAAATATTAACGGAGTTACGGCTGTTTTAAGTTTTATTTAACTTGCCGGTACTTTGTCTTTTTGACCTAACCTATTTATAAGCCTATGAAATGTTCTCTCCAGATACTTGATATCTTACGGTAAGTAATTAAAGTAGAAGACTCACTTTTTACCAGGAAATAACAGTGCAAAAATGTCTCGGAGGCCACGAATAAACTAAGGTAACTTGAGATAATTTGTCATTTTGATTTCCTTATCTACCTTCTATTCAAGTCTGCTACTGCTGGCCGCATTACAGAATTACGGAACGGACTAACTGTTACTTGTAGAACTATACTGAACCTCAAATGAAAATGAAAATACGAAATTGAAGAGAAGAGAATAAAAATAAGTCAATCAAGTCATTTATTTCTACATGTGCTACAAACATCTAAGAAACAACACGGCACTGAATAACTTATTTCAGAATGATTTTATTTAGGCATGTGTGGAAGGCAAGTCGGGCTTATTCGGATTCGTGACTGTATTAAGTGTTTTGAAGTTAGGTTAGATTAGGAAGGTAAAGTGTAGGTTATAGTGTACTGAGTTGATAATTTATATTACACACAGGCAGTTGTTGTGCAATTAAAATAGTGTGTTAAACACAATGAAATGACGATTTCAGAAATGCTGCAAGCAAATTTTTGCACCGTTATTTTCAGCAAAAAATCTAGTTTCTGGTGATATATAAATCTATATAGGTTCCCATGGTCACGTTCGTCACAATAATTACCGACATTTTAGTATAAACCCAATCAGGCAAATGGAAATTCGCTTAGTCTGCAGGTTTGCTGCGGCGGGGGTAAGTTAGGCCTACCTATTTGATTTTGCTTACGTATGCCTCTTGTCAAAAACAAATGATACAGCTTGCTTATACGTGCATAATCTGAAATCTCTTCCGATAAGAAATGGTTTCTATTTTCTAAGGGCTTCATCAATGGCAACGGCTTCTTTTTCAACAGCCCTAGATTTGTTTGGAGTCTGTGAGAAAAAGGAATTGGCCAATTATCTTGACTTAAAGTTGCTGCCACGGCTATGTCAGATGTGTCAGTCTCTAATACCAGTGGCTCCACTGCTCTTTGTACTGTACGTCAACGACATAAACTCGACCTTGACCAACTGTAAACATCACATGTAGGCTACGCTGACGACTTACAAATCTATGACCATTTTACTGCAAACAACGATCAAATGACTGTGTCAGAAGATTCAATGAAGATATCAACCGAATAGTTACTTAACTTACACTGAGAATCATGGACTGAGACTAAATCAGTTCGGACCATAGATTCTGCTTTGAATGTCATTTCTTGTTTACTGTACATCTTTTGTTAGAATTTTTGCAATTTATAATTTTATTTTATGAACAGAATTTAATCTTCATTCGTTTTATTCATTATCAGCAAGTTTGATTGGTTAGGTTAGGTTATGACAGTAACTGCCGGACGACTAATCCACGTCCGGACTCACCGGTCTCGTATCCTCTGCGTTTTTTTTATTTTTATTGATGGAGTATTCTTAAATGATTTTTTTAACTTACCAAGAAGCCGCTTAATACAATTCCACACAACTGTAGCAGAAGAATTGATTTATTTGTATATCCTAGTGTCATGATTCTGTCAGCCTATCCAACTCTCGTTGAACAATAATCTTTAACTCTAAAATAAAAACAGTCTAATCCTAATTTGTTTGTCTGTCTCCAGTATTTATTTCCTATTGAATAACGGAGCTTCTCGTTCTCGTCCCTTCCTTAACATGAATAATCTAAAGTGAAAATCAGAAACTAGGCCTATTCAAAACTCAAAAGATTGTTAAAATGTTCTTACTTATATACGTGCACTTTTCTTATAGGTTATGTTTATCATAAAAATTTGATCTCTGCATTAGGCAGGCTAAGTTACAAGCTAACAAATTGTTGGTTCACTACCATTGTTTATTATTTGTACATTCTATTTTTATGTATATCTACGCCAGTAGTATTTTTGTTACGGTTGCTTCCATATGAATTATTTTTGTATTATTTTATATTCAATTTGTCTGTTGCCCTCCCTCCATCCCCACCACTTCCACAAATGGGGTTCCACCTAGAAGGATCAAGTCAGGATTTAGGGTTTAGTTGAATGTTTGCGGCAGTGAGTGACCACGATCCAAACCCAGGACATCGGGTGCTGCCTTGGGCCCGAAGTCCATGACGCTACCGACTGAGCCACCGACTCACCTAATACAATCTACATATACTTACAACTTTGCAGCATTGGCAGTAAATATTTTACAAAGCTTTAGAGGCTGGTCAACCAGCAATTCTCTCTAGGAAAACAATGGTCTGCTAGTGCTAGGTGGAATTGGTGAAGCGTTGTTTTGAATCAAGAACACGAACACTTGTTGGTAGTGTTTGGCATATTGAAAAGCTTGTTGAAAAGCGACGGGTAGTCATTAGAGTTTGAATTTTATGAAGTTTAGAGTTTGGTCGGAGCGGACCAGTGTCTCCAATTACGCTCTATGCTTCCCATAATTTTTATCCCTCACCCTCAATCCCTGCTGCAATCTTCTGGTTGTAAATTCTGATTTTGACTCGTTTTTAAGCAGGGCAGGTCCAAGGCGTTTTGTTTAGCACATACAATCACCTACCTTAATTACCTCCTTCGTCACCAAGACCTTCGCTGCCCGGATAGGATTCAAATGATTTATTTGGCCATTCAGTACATAAGACAATAGGCTACGTCAAACAATAACAATAGAGCTGAAATAAACACATGCAGGATCTCATTTAATATGAGCTGATGTGTCAATTACTAATACTAAATGTACTAATAAAACTTTTTTTATAAAATATTTTATCTCATGGTGGTGGATGCACCAACACTTAACGCTTTCAGGCTATACTATGGCCTATCTTTTAGCCATGTCTCTTCAGGGCAATGCTAAATTTAGGTTCTTCCAGGTTCTTCAGTGTTTTGGTTAGGCTATTGCAATTGTAAATCTTGAATCTCATGGTTGGGTATGATTTTTTTTATTTTTGAGAGCCTGCAGAAAGGGATTTCTATTTCATTGTTATACCATGTTATACTTAGTTTGATGTGTACGTATACACAGGTCCAGGGTGGCAACACTGCCAAGCCAATAGCACTGAGCTAGCTAAAATTATAACCGGAGGTAGCACTGCCATGGTAGAAGTCTGTCAAAAGCGTGTCGCTGATTTTGTTAGGTTGGTACAGCAGTGGGTTTTCTTATCATAGCTATAACATGGCTTCTTATAACTAGGTTGGTATAGCAGTGGGTTTTCTTATAATAGCAATAACATGGCTTCTTATAACTCCCGCCCCACGCAAACATGGCGGCTGGCGACACGCATCTTTGACATTCAGTTCTACCTCCAGTTAGATAGAATTATAGCTCAGTGGCCAATAGTGGTTATGGTCTGGTTAGTGGTTTTGGAATTCGGACTCCGGATGTTAGGATACGCTATTTTGTTTTGTTTGGTTGGAATACTGGAGTGTGGGAAAAACACCGAGCTATAGAATTATAGCTCAGTGGGAAAAAATTATAGCGGCAAAAGAGTGGGCAAAAGTCATTACTGGAACTGGAACACTGGAGCTGGAACAGGTGGACTAGTGCCAGTCAGGACTGACTGACTCTGACTGGACTGGGCTGGGCTGGCTGGAGTTTGTCTTTGTCCTGCTGTTCCGCTGTTATTGCTGTTGCCAGTTGCGAGTTGCCACTGCTGAGTGCTGAGCTGACTGCTGTTGCTGGTCCTCCTGTGTGAAGTGTATTATTTTGTTTGTTTTTGACTTTTGTTGACTTACGTGAGAAACGAGAAACAAGACAAATTGTTGATTATTAGGATTGTTTATTAGTAGGCTACCAGTAAATACTAAATATTAGCATTGATCTAGGGGATAAGCCATGTAAGTTAGGTATTCACATAGTTCTAGTTATGGGCTATTTCGGCAAAGCTTTTGTAGGAAATAACTTGTCATGTTTACAATAACAGAGCACATAACATAAACTAAGTTATGACATTTCCTTGAAAGTTGAGGTAAACTTAAGTTAAAACTTACCATCCTAAGTAGGCCTAAATGAATTCAGTTACCACCAACACCAACCGCTTTGGACTAAATCTGAAATATCTGGCCATTTTTTGTGCTAGGGATGAGCATCAATGTACCGATAACATCGGTGAGAAAACATCGATGTATTCGGGGCTAAAACATCAATGTTATCGGGGCTTAAACCAAACATCATAAATCTGTTTATTTGCCGGATATAATATTTTTATTTCAATGTTGCGGAGCAGCATGTGTCCTCTAAGTAAGTAGCCTACATCTTAAATTGAAGCAAGAATTTGAAAATAAATTAAATTTATGCTTTTTGGTAGAGTAATACAGTCCTAGATAAATATATGCCGATGCTTGATGTGAAATCTGTGTAGGCTACGCATACCTTAAAAATTTGAGACCTCAATCATGAACATCGGTTGCGTAGAAGACCAAAACAAAGTCGGAATAGAAAAACCTACAATTTAACTCTCATAAGAAATACATGGGGAGCAAATTTTGTTTACGTACAAGCAGAGTGGGGCTGTAGGCTAGATAAATATATGCCGATACTTTATGTGAAATCTGTGCTTGCATACTTTCAATTTGAGACCTCAATCATGAAAATTGGTCGGTTAGAAGAGCCAAACAAACTCGGAAAAGAAAATCAAGATGTAGGAAAACCACAAGTTACTGTAAATGTAATGATTGCTCAATATGTAGCATTTTAAAACTAAATAGCTTATTCTAGGCCTACTAGGGGATATCTATAGTAGGGGATGGCTATAGTCTAGGTATACCTCCACAATGTGAGCATTGAGGTGATTTTTTATGTTCAATTCAAACTAAATATGATAATTGTTCAAGGTTGGGCTGCACTTTACTTTACGTCCTACACTCATTGGAATGAAAATATCGATCGTTATATTGATTATTCGATAAGGTATATAGTTTGGTTAAGGTAAGGTTAACTTAACCTAACTAACCAAACGATATATCGAATGAAACAATCGAATAACCGATATTTTAATTTGAAGGAGTGTAGGATGTAAAGTAAAGTGCAGCCCGTTACTTTAGGTCCTACACTCATTCGAATGAAAATATCGATCGATATATCGATTAATCGATTGTTTCATTCGATATATCGTTTGGTTGGTTAGGTAAGGTTAACCTAACCTAACTAACCAAACGATATATCGAATGAAACAATCGAATAACCGATATTTTCATTCGAATGAGTGTAGGACCTAAAGTAATGTGCAGCCCAAGGTTGTGAAATTCTTTGTGTTGACTTTAATTTTTATTTTTACTAAGATGTGGTTACAATCTGTGTTTTATGAGAAATATTTAAAAGGACTTAGTCCTTGTAGGCCATACTTTTAATACTTTTTAGTCCTTGTAGGCCATACTTTTAATACTTTTTAATGAAATGGCGACCATACAAAGTAGGTATTTTAAGCCAAGTATGAATGGAGATGAGTGTAGGATGAGTGGCGCGATCTTATAGTCTTGTTAGTGACTAAGGTCGACTTATTCCTTAGACACAGCTGTTAATTAATAGCCCATACAGCTAATGGCAACTAAGGGACCTACAGTTTATAGTGGAATCCGAACCACATTTTTGCCTTGGTATATACGAATTGGTCTAATCTTCAGGATAGCACTGCGGATAGTCGTATTACTCACTCGTGCGGACGTAAATCCATAGGTACCAGGGAGTAGGCCTATCGTATCCACAGTGCATTCCTATAAATATCCACAATTCGTAACCTCCTAGTAGCTGGATTACAGGACGACGCCACCCGTCCCAGTTTATATCTCTGTAGTCTGTGAACATACTTTAATTACCTATATTAGCTTATGTTTAGCATAACATTGAAATGAAAGTTTTTCATTGCAGAGCCATAATAAAATGTTTCCAAGTCAAGGATTGTCAACGCCTTCAACGGCCAATCCGATGAAAGATTTTGAAGTTACTTCTCCGCCTGATGATTCCATTTCTGCCTTGGCTTTCAGTCCAGCCACACTTCCACAGAACTTTTTGGTGGCTGGTAGTTGGGATAACAATGTGAGTTTGATACACATTTTACCATCATAGCTTTTAAATTAATTCAGTCATTATAAAATGAAAACAAGCTTTGCTTCCCTGTAATGGTAATGTCTAATCTGTTATCTATATATAAAGCCAAAAGTACCCATGAACTTTTGAGAAAACTACAAGTCACACCCCCATTAACCATATAGGTACTTAAAATGTTTGTCATGACGAGAAACCTTGCGCAAAATTATCCATTATTTCATAAAATGCCCTCTAAGGTCGTAATTGCTTTCCAAAGGGAGTTTTCCATTTACCTAATGTTAAAAATACCTCAGCTGTTATTATTTGTTTGTATTCTGTTTTGTTTATTTCATCTTAACTTAATAGTACAGGTAAAATTATACTAAAACACCAGTAGAAAACATAAAAATTAGTCCATTCATGAAACTTGCAGGAAACGTAGTAATTACCATTAGGTATTGGAATCTGAAGAGTCCCTAGTGATTGTGGGGGTGGAAGTACCATTTTATGGGGTTTTAAGTTTATGGGGGTAGTGGTTTTGAGAAAATTTTTATTTATGGGATCCAAGCAAGTGGGGTGTCGTTTTATATGTTTCTTAGGATGCAGAATCGAAAAAGAACATTATAAAAGCAATAAAACCAACAGTTTATTAGAAAAAGACTAATTTATTAATGAAAAACTAAATATGACAAATTAAATAAGGTAAAATTAAGGTAAGGATGCTGGGTCGCTATGAATTGGTTACTATACCAAAATGCCTGAACCGATTTTAATGAAATTTGGCATACAAGTGCTTGAATACTATATCTAATCCCAGTTTGTCAATGGTCGAGTTTGATTGGGTCATTTCAAAATGGCGGCCGTTAATAATTAAAATAATTAAAAAATGTTTAACGTTTTGTTTTTTCAACTCTCTCCAGAAATCTGCAGCGGTCTTTCATTTTCCTTGCAATCACAGGTTGTGATGCCGTCTCTGCATTTCATGGATTAGGCAAAATACCCCCACCGTAGCAAACCTGCAGATTAAGTGAGTTCCCATTTGCCTGATTTGATGTTCAATTAAATCTATTTCAATAACATTAATTTAAGTGTTAACTAGGTTTGCTGCTACTGGGAGGGTAATAAAGTGTGTTTTTAATTAAAAAATGAATAAGTTAAATCAATTGGCCAAGTTTTATCAAAATATAACCATAAACTAGCAAAATAACTATTCATGGTAGGCCTATTCAAAATAGTTTAGGGAGGAATTCGAAAATTTTATCTTTAGAGGGGCAAACATAAGGAAACTCAATTTTTACCCCATAAATCCTCCAGAACACCCCGTTCTCATGGTCCGATCATGCTGGTTCGCGAACTCGTTCGAGTAAACGTAGGTTTACACGTTTTTACCAAATTTCGTCAACATTGGGTCATTTTAGCTTGAGTTATCGTGCTAACGTTCTTTTTAAAGTACACGTCTACAGTCATTAGCGCTGTTAAAGTTTAATGTTATGTCATGTAGAAAAGTACAACAAATCATTGGATTGATTCTAACGAGTTCGCAATCCAGCATGATCAGACCATGGGAACGGGGTTTTTGGGGGATTTATAGGGTCAAAATTGGGGTTTGTCATGTTTAACCCTCTATAACACTTTCCAATTTCTCTCTTAACCATTTTGGATACCATGATGATTTTGAATACCTTAAAAAACAAATAATTTTGTTTATTTAAGTGTTTGTGTACGGTTATTGGTTACCTACCTAGAAAATTCAAAAAGTGTAAATTTATCAATCGCATTTTATTCTTATGGAGAATAAGTAAACTGTTGTAGTTTGCTCGTTTATGGATATATTTTGATAAAAATTTATTTATTTTGACCTAAGCTATTAATATTTTGATTAAAAAAACACACTTCATTATCCTCTCCGTAGCAGCAAACCTAGGTACTAATTAAACTTAATGTTATTGAAATAGATTTAATTGAACATCAAATCAGGCAAATGGGAACTCACTTAATCTGCAGGTTTGCTACGGTGTGGGTATTTTGCCTAATCCATGAAATGCAGAGACGGCATCACAACCTGTGATTGCAAGGAAAATGAAAGACCGCTGCAGATTTCAGGAGAGAGTTGAAAAAACAAACCATTAAACAATTTTTAATTGTTTTAATTATTAACGGCCGCCATTTTGAAATGACCTAATCAAACTTGACCTTTGACAAACTGGGATTAGATATAGTATTCAAGCACTTGTATGCCAAATTTCATTGAAATCGGTTCAGGCATTTTTGTATAGTAACCAATTCATAGCGACCCAGCATCCTTACCTTAATTTTACCTTAATTAATTTGTCATATTTAGTTTTTCATTAATAAATTAGTCTTTTTCTAATAAACTGTTGGTTTTATTACTTTTATTATATTTTTTTTCGATTCTACATCCTAAGAAACATATAAAACGACACCCCACTTGCTTGGATCCCATAAATAAAAATTTTCTCAAAACCACTACCCCCATAAACTTAAAACCCCATAAAATGGTACTTCCACCCCCACAATCACTAGGGACTCTTCAGATTCCAATACCTAATGGTAATTACTACGTTTCCTGCAAGTTTCATGAATGGACTAATTTTTATGTTTTCTTAGGTGAGTTTTACCTGTACTATAACCAATCAATAGTTTTATTAATACTAATGTAGTAAAACGGGGTGGAGCCCGTGGGTAACAGCTAGTTAGAAATAATACTTCTTACAATATGTTGTGGTGGACTCTCCAATAATCGAGAGTGTACCGTACTGTAGTAGTCTTATATCAAAGCAGCTTTAGAAATGTTTACAATTAATTTTTTTCAGCAAGTTTAGGGCATTAAGTCAGTATTACTGTAGATGTAGGCAATCTTGGATTAGTATGATGATATTTGTAAAAATGATGTGTGCCGTATAAAATAAATACATTTCAGGCACTATTAAAGTAACCTTGGTTCACATTTGGTTAATCTACTTCCTATTCTAATGCACTGTCAATCTTTTTACCAGGTGAGGTGTTGGGAAGTGGAACAGTCCGGCAAGACAATCCCTAAGTCAATGCAGACTATGGCGGGTCCTATATTGGACGTCTGTTGGAGTGATGTGAGTACGGTGAATCTACCTTATTGTGTTGTGATGGATTGGAAAGTTGAAATGACTGGCACGGCAAGTGTAATAAAGAAGTGGGTGTGATGTTATGTCTTTATTACTCAAAGAAAAAAACCTATATATTCATATGAACCAACTACAATAGGGGATACTGAATCAATAGAATAGGACAGCTGTTGTTGTAGTGATGAGGTTTTTTTTTAAAAACGTTTTTAAGGGATTTTGGAGTTGGTTGTGGTCGAAATATACAGTACCATCTTTACTGTTGCTGTACGGTAAACCTTTTTTTGGCAAGGTTTGTTTCTTCATGCAAGTGATAACTTTAATATTGTTTAGACACATCATTCAGACTGCAGGGAGGGTTATAATCAGTGTATTGATAGCCTACTAGTTAGCGTTCGCAGAGGCATCTACAAAATTGAGCGGAGTCATCAGGGTTCGTATTACATTGTTATTGACCTTGTCCATCGAGCTTCATTTAACTATTTTTACCTTCAATTTAAGTGAAGACAACATTTTTTGTGTAGTGATAAATATTGGGGTAATTACATTGGCTACACAGAGATATCATTTCAGACCTTTCTGGAGACCTGCATCAGCCTAAATTTTAAGTTGTAAACCTCTGGGTTGGTCATCAACTTTTTCTCAAACAGGGCGGTACAGTTCCAGCTAGTGAATGGGATAACCTAGAAATCAACCCTAACAGTTTCTAATTCTACTATTTTGGCTACTGATAACTCCATAAGAGGATTTCATGTGATGGTGATAATATTAGTGAAAACACAAAATATAAGGCATTCTCTACAATCTGAGACATTCATTACTACCAAAACATAACTAACCAGCCAACTATCTTAATACTCAGTAAAACAATTTAACATGTTTTTTACAATTATATAATTATTTTATTAGTTATAATTAGTAATCATTTTATTATTTATAAAGTGTTATTTTATTAACACTGCGCGAGTATTGAGCCCGCTCAGATAATTTATATAGGTACACATGTTTGTATGATAATGAGATGGCTGAAGTGGGAGTTATTCAATTCTGGTTTAGTTGCATGTGGGCTATTTATCAAAATGTTAATACGACTTTGAGCTTTAACTTAAATACTCGTATTTTAGTGACCAATTTATGGTTAAAGATTTGTATGAGAGTTTCAGTTTGAACAGTACAGTATGTATTATCTAAACTCAACGTTCATAGAATGCAACTTATCAATGAATTACTAATCTTCAATTACCGTATCAAATATTTGAAATCGGTACGCCACCTAGGTGCGTATTTCAATCCAAATACGAGAGAAGGGTTTACAACATGGTTATATAACACCAGTTTACGAGAAATCAGTTCTTCAATGTTAAAAAATTGAATTCTCGAACACTGCATATTATGCATTGCCTAAACCAAGTAATTCTATTTAGAAGATTGACACTGTTGTGTTACAGTAGTTGCTTACAAGAAATATTTTGAAAAAAACACTTCACTACATTGTAAATTCAGGAATGTACATGTAATGAATTTCTACTATTTAGCCTGTTAACACATTCGATGCGGCGGGTCCACCGGTGGACCCCGCGCGTCTCAGCTGAGGAGCTGTCCACTGGAGGGGGGTCCACGGGTGGGGGAGCGCGCATTGCATTGTTTGCCGGATCAGTGTGGTTCAGCCATTGTCCGGGGAACGTTGTAATCTTTACCAGCCTGTAGCTTATAATGCGAGCTTTATTCTGGTGTAGGTTGGTAAAAAAATTGCCTGTAAAATCCCGTCTGGCAATGCTTTTGTCCCGTTTTCGGGGATATCTCAATTCGAGCCGTATTACAAAGACTCTGGTTATTGATCCAGGCAGTGCTGCTACCTTTGGGTGTTTCAGTGAACTACGTCCACTTTCGGAGTAACGCAGAACAATCACCACTGCTCTTTTGTGATTCGTCTTACTGAGATATTTCAATACCAATAGCGATCGCTGATTCAGTTAGCGCGTTGGGGCTCCGCCCGGGCCTCGCCGCAATTGGCGAGCGCCTGTTTAAAGGTTTTCAGCAGCGAATGTGTTAAGTGTGTTTTAAATATAAAAAATGTTATAAGTATTGTAAAAAAGATTATTTGCTTGATTGATTCAGATCTATAATCATCTATAACCACACAACTGATTTTTAAATTCACTCACTCAGTTCAAATCAGAGTTAATTTTTTTTTAAGTTAAACTTTCCATTCATCCCATTATAAATCCAATTATTGTAAAACTTTATACTGGATGCTGGAAAAAATTAACCTAAAATGATTTGAATAATATAAACCTAATAAAATTAAAACCATCATTGAAAGTTTCCATAGTAACCCAAATCACTTCCCAAAGAATTACATTACAAGCTTGTCAAATACTTTATCTCCAACCTAATCTTCATCAATAGTGAAACCATGAGTCGTATTCGTCCGGTGGTGGTAGGTGTAGGTGTGGGGTTGGTTGCAGGTTGGGTGTTGGATCGGCTGACCAGGGGGCCGCCTCCTTCTGGAGGTTCGCTTCCTCGGCTGCCATGTTCTTCACCCTCCTCCAGCCATCCTCCCTCCTCACCTCCATCATCCGGGCGGTGCGGCTGGTGGTAGGGGACAGGGGTGAAAGAGAAGATACGTGCTGCTATAGTTAAGAAAACTTAAATCAAAATGAAAGAAAAGCAGCACCAAACAAGGAAAGAGAATGGAAAGAAGTTTCACCCTTGATGAGTTTTGTGGGTAGAACCTCTTGTATTATTTTAATTTAAGACTTATTTTTAAAAATTCAGTTTTTTCTTAAGGAAGGCTATCGCATAAAAAAAAAAAAACAGAATATCAACTAAGACACTATTATTTAAAAGCTGTATGTATTACCCTGTAACACGTCAACTTTGTTCGCACTAAAACATTGTGATTCTGTTCATTTAAGACCCTGTACAAGATTCATATACTAATTAACAAACCAATTCATTGCTAATATGCGGGATACTAAAAAGATTAGGCCTATATAAGCTTTTCCCAAGTAAGCTTAGAAATTTTCAAACACAACTTCAACTGTTAATTTAGTTGGATGGACCGAAAGGAAACATGATTGTTTTATTATTCAAAACGGAACTATCAATAAACGTCTAAATCAGATGTTAAGGCTATTAGTATAGGATTCAAGTCATTTGATTATATTTATGATCCATACCATTTCTGTTCTAAAATCTGTGGAATAATGCTATCAGCTATTTCTTCATCTACTGTATTCAAAAGTCAACAGCTGATCTTATGCCTTTGTTTATGTGTCAAATACTGCTTCCATAAGGATTACATTGAACTTTGAGACCCCGTGGGGCGGATTCCTGAGAGATTTTTCAACACCATATAGATGTTAGCACTGCAAAATTTGAAAACGATCGCTTCAGCCGTCTAGGAGAAGTTTTCATATTACAAAATGCATAAAAGTCTACGTATAAGAGCTTCGCTGAATAAATGTAAATATTAGACATTTACAATAACACCAACAAAATCTGCATTTTCCACATCTCATTTTAGGATGGTACCAAAGTGTTCATGGCTTCTTGTGACAAGATGGTCAAGTGTTGGGACCTGGCCAGTAACCAGACAGTGCAAGTGGCTCAACATGACGCGCCTGTCAAGACATGCCACTTTGTCAAGGGACAGAACTACTCTTGCATCATGACTGGCTCCTGGGACAAAACACTCAAGGTACAAAACAAAGTGAATTAGACATTTAAAATGTTATTTTGGCTGTTTTCAAGAATTTTTGTGTGTTCTAGATAGGTATATCTGATGATTTCTTTACATAGAATAATCTTATTTAGGGATGGTCAAGTCTCGAAATTTCGGGAAATTTTCGGGAAATTTTAAATCTCGTTACACGAGACGAGATTTCTTTTTGGCCGAGATTTTTATCGAGACGAGAATAAAAAAAAAAAAAAAATATATTAAAAACGCCTGCAGAAAGTCAATGCAATACCCGCAATACAGGAGCGTGTTGTAGTTGCGTTTCCTTTGCGAAGGCGTTCTTATTTAATTAATTCTTTAAATGTAAATATTACTTTTTATTTGAATAATATTACTTTAATAACATTTGAGAAGTTTTGTTAAGTGTAAGCAGTGTAAGGAATGTTTTATTACTATAAAAAGTCAAAACAAGTAACTATTTTATAAAAATTAATATTGCTTTTATTTTATGATTTATTTTATTTTGGGATAAGTTGAACTCTATCCTAACTGATATCACTATGTTTCCTAATCGTAGGCATTTTTAATAAGTTAGGCGTGATTAATAAAAAAATGTTATGCTGATGTTTTTTAATAAAAGATTGTAAATATTCTTGCCTATTATCATTATTTTTGTATTTAAATAGTCATCTAACAATGTTACAAAATCAGGTAAAAATTTTGAACGTGCATTTCCCGTTGTGTATGAGAAGGGAAATCCCGTCTCGATCTCGTCTCGAAATTTTATGAGAAATAAAAAATCTCGTCTCGTCTCGTCTCGAACTAAAAATCCAATCTCGTCCATCCCTAGTATCTATCTAATTAAGGCTAAACTGAAACCTTACCGTGAGTGCTGTTAGTTACTATATGCAGTTTAAAATATAAAATTATTTTTATTCAGTTGTTTACCCTTTTCATTACTTCAGTCGCAGAGGCGGCTCCAGAGGGCAGGCCAGGTAGGCCCGGGCCTAGGTACACAAAATTTTGGTAGTTTTTTCAAAATTATAAATAAGTAAAGAAATTTTATTGTATGTAAATAAAGGGAAAGCATTCAAACTAATTATTTTGCATTTAAATTCCTTCCTTTTTGCGGGGAAAGCCTTCAAACCTCTCGTCTCCCAATCAAACTCTTTCTTAATCTTTGTCAGGCCTACCCAAAAATATATTCCTGGAGCCGCCCCTGCAGTCAGTCTGAAGTACCAGATTCAACTTTATTCAAAGATAAGAAACGCTATTTATGAGGTATAGTTATGAAATTTCTTAAGTAGGATATCATGTTAAATTCGAATAATTATTAATGTAGGTAGGCCTAGGCTATCTACAAATTTGCTCCTGACACTATTGATCTATTTTATTGCAGTTTTGGGACACCCGCAGTCCAAATCCAATGCTTACTATTCAACTGCCGGAACGATGCTACTGTGCAGATGTGGTGAGTGATATTAAAATTACCTGCTTTATTGTCATGTGTTGTGAGTCTGATATAATCAAATCATGTGTTCAACAAACCTCCAAAGCCATCCATCTGCATTCCATTTAGTAGGCTATCTCTATAGCATTGTGGGTTCTTGGTCAGTTATTGGAGCTTTTCTTTAAGATTTGACTTAGTAAAGATTGGAGTTGTTTTTAATGGGGAATGTTGCTGAAAGTCAACAGTCCCGGAAGATCAAATAATTTATACCTGTGCTGCTAGGTCAACAACTACAATGTTTGCAGTGTCTGTAGATCAAAAGTCCCAGTAAGTCAAATAATACAGTCCGAGCTAAAAACATGGTCTATGTTAAAGCAATTGACTTATTGGGAATTTGACCTAATGCAACAGCAGTTTTAATATAACGAAATACGGTAAAATACAAGTTCAGTTTCGCTGAGTCAACAGTGCCGGAAGATCAAAAGCAATAAAAGTGAACGTCGATTCAGTGTAAAGTGGACCTCCTGCAACGCTTACTACACCAACAAAACTCGCTTTTAGTTACTTCGTGTTTTGTCATAATTAGAATAGAGCTAAAATTATCATATTTGGTACATAGCTTATCTATTAACACTTCTTGCCATCTACTGTTTGGTCAACACTGTAAATAGGTATAGCCTTTCGTCAAAATTTGTGACATAAAATACCCGCAAGGACGATCTGAAAATTTCTGGTTATTAGGCTATATACGTTTGTAAAAGGAGATCCATTTAATTGTAGAACTATTTTATGAGTTACAATGTAGTCTACATATATACTGTGTAAATGTATTACGCCTCGGAAGGGTTGAAACCTGTCCAAACTATCATATATATTATTAAAACGTAAATGGGTTTTTTGCACGATTTTGAATCAACCAGACGATGGATTTTCATTAGTTTTGTGTTGAAAGAAAAACAATTTTGAGAACTAGGGAATTTCAAAGCCATAATTTAAAATTAGTGTCCCAGTTTTTTATAAATTAAGTTTTAGTTTTTAAAAAGTCTAGCAGCCGATGCTAACCTTCTCCAATAAGTCAATGCTTCTAGCTAGCTTTTAGTACAATATAATTTGCTTAACATAACAGCTGTAACATTCAGCATTTGTGACACAAGTTCAGCATTTAGAAGAAAATTCAAATACATACTTATGGTTGGCTTATTTATACTATGTGTAATGCTGACCATTGATACGTTTAACTCTTCGGTACGAGGATGGCAGATTAATTAAATATGCATAGTAAAATACAGTAGTAGGATGTTCAAATTATTTTTTAAAGTATTCTTTGTAATCATCGATTTGTTTTAGTCCAATATAATTTGTTTTAACTAACAGCTGGTTGAATGTGCTATGTATACTTATAAAAGGCAAAGCCCTCACTTACACACTCACTCTCACTCACTCATCATCACTAATTCTCCCACTTCCCATTTACCTAGGAGGCTGAAATTCGATACACCGATTCATTGGGCATTAAATAGGATAACTGAGTAATTTTTATTATGATAGGGCATTCGAGCTTCGCCCCAGTGGCTCTGGAGTTTCCCATGTTAACCTTATGATTTTTCATATTTAAAAGGAATTAATGAATCTTAACAGCTGGTGTCAATTAAACAATTTATGACAACAGCTAATTTGCAACCAAAAGCTGAGTGAGCGTTTCGAACGAACTTCAACCTGGAGGCGAGTTAATCCCAAGGCAAGTGCAAGTGTTTAGGTTGGAGCTCAGCGAACGAGCTCCAACCTAAAGGTGAGTGAGCGTAGCGAACGAACTTCAACCAGGACGTGATTGAGCCATGCGAACGAGCTCATCTTGAAAATTAATTAGTTAAACGGGGCAAAGCCAGCGGGTACAGCTAGTCTTCTAATATATAAAATTCTCGTGTCACAGTGTTTGTCTGCAAACTCCTCCGGAACGACTTCACCGATCGTTATGAAATTTGGTGTGTAAATTCTGTAGGTATGCGAATCGGACGTAAACTATTTCCCGTTTCGAAATTCTTAAAAGGGCTCCGCCCCAGTGGCTCTGGAGTTTCCCATGTTAACCTTATGAGAAATGGAATTAATGAATCTTAACAGCTGTTTCAATTAAACAAGTTGGTTCTGTTCTATGATGTTCAATAGCATTAAAGTTACAAGGATTACCAACAGGGTGCAGCACTATTATTTCTTTTACATTTATGACAACAGCTAATTTGCAACCAAAAGGTGAGTGAGCGTAGCGAACGAACTTCAACCTGGAGGCGAGTGAGCGTAGCGAACGAGCTAACCTGAAGGCAAGTGAGCGCAGCGAACGAGCTCCAACCTAAAGGTGAGTGAGCGTAGCGAACGAGCTCCAACCCAAAGGTGAGTGAGCGTAGCGAACGAACTTCAACCAGGACGTGATTGAGCAATGCGAACGAGATCATCTTGAAAATTAAACGTAACGGTACTTTCTTTCCATCGGTCTGTCTTAGGGGAAACCTATAACTTAGGCGATACGAAGTTCGCCGGGTCAGCTAGTTATTCTATAGAATTATTAGGTTTTTAGCGAATTTCGCATATAGGGAATAAGCTATTACCGTAGTACTCATGGCAACACCTGGACCCGGGACCGATGTAATTTTTCGTTTTGAGTCCCTAGAGGCCAAAAACACCATCCGTTCAAATTCATATATATGTAAGTGTATAAGACATTTTGGGGACTTGACTTTTTCGGGTCTCAAGAATTTATACGAAAATACACTATTGCAATATTTTGAGGACTTGAATTTCCGTATGTGTATAAGACATTCTGGGCACTTGACGTTTTCGGGACTCGAGAATTTAGTACTTTTCGAGGACCTGTGCAAATTATTCCATTCCAAATGCAGCGCGTTATCGATCATCACCCTTGTGTGGGCCTCCCATTCACTGACGGAATGTCTCGTGGCGTATGACGACCGGATATAAATAGTCACTTTACACTCACTTATCTCGTTATTTTTTTTTCAGCATATTCGTTGACCCGTCTGCAGGTTTTATGTTGACGGGCTGTCAGAGCGTCTGTTGTAATAACTGGAATTCCTTACGTATGTTTGCTGCTGATTACGGTGAAGTATTGTTAGAAATTCCACCTAATCTTTAAAGTTACCCATTAAATTCATAGAAATAATAATATTTAACTGTTTGACGAGTACCCCTATTGTATTCAAAATACTAAACGGCCCAAACCCAATATTTAATACAAGCCAAAGGTGTCTTATAGATTCCGAGTAAATTATTATAAACTATCAAATGGAGCATGTAAAGTGCATTATAAATAATCAACAAACCCTAACATAATTGACTATTGATTCAGTTACTGATTCAGGAATTACAATTGCTGATGATAACTGAATGCTCTGACCTGAAGCAGTGTTCTTCTTTACTTCTTTACCTATAAAACACATGGGATACAGCATTTCTTCACTGATCACGTAATGCGTGATTTTTTATAAAGTCTTGGAAAAATAAAAGGAAAAATAGATAGAATACAGGTGTACTGTATGTGGTTTACACACAAATATTCATCAAACTGTGTGATAGTTTGTTATAGCAATGAACAATTTGAGAGTATCGTATTGTTTAAGTCGATGGAAAATCTGTGTTGATCCTGTTTTACAAGCAAACCAAAAAGATACACCACTCTACCACTCTATGCGACATATTCTAACCAGAAAATTGTAATCGTATGATTCTATAAGCATTGGTAGGATTGCAAAGTACTACACAAACATTATTTCAAGGGTAATAACAGTCACAATTTCCGCTGACTTTAAAAGAGTCAACTAAACTATTATACTAATGGGCACACAACTAAACGGAACAACTAATGGAAATTCTCATGATGTACATTCGTTCGATATAAGCATTGAGTATACACGTCGGAGAGAGAGCGAGATGTAGAAAATTGGCTTTTCTGAAAATTACCCAAACTACAGGGTAGAGGTGTGGTGTGTGCGGGGTGGGGGCCTAATGTCTCTAATGTCCGTAGGAAAATCTGTCCCCTATCTTTGTCCTGGAAGCTAGTTGAAACCTCTCTCGGGATCGCTCTGTATACCCAATGATATAAAAAAACTCTGATGATATATAAACTTACTCTGTTTTCGGACTTACTCACACTCGTATAAGGTTTTCCACGTTTGTCATTGATAATGTAGCCATGTTGCTTTGAAATGGCGACCATACAAATGTATGCATTTTAAGCCAAGTATGAATGGAGATGAGTGTGGGATGAGTGGAGCGATCTTGTTGTCCTGTTTGTGACTAAGGCCGACATAATCCTTAGACACAGCTGTTAATTAATAGTGCATACAGTCAATTAATAGCAGCAGAGGTCAAGTTTGGTATCAAATTAAAGGTTTTATTCATAAAAATACATTGCCGCAAACCCAAACTCAAAACGATGATGATGATAATAACGTTAATGATGTCGCTAAAACTTATCGTTTGAAATTTAACAGCTGAAAATAAGTGAAATAGAAAAGGTTTTGGTTAAATCCATCAAATTGTAATTGGACACTAGTAAATACTAGTGCACTTGTTGCTACCTCCCCCCTTCGGTTTCATGTATTCCTCTCAATCAGTTCAAACCTAGGAGGATTAAACATTAATGTTACCTAATTAATGTTAAATCCTCATAGATTCAAACCTGAAACACCCAGATCGAAACTCGCCTGTCGTTATTTTACCATCGCCTTTTTTTTTCAAATATATTTTTCAAAAAAGAAAGATTATATTGATTTACTTTGGATTTTAAAAATGTTAACGTTTTATTTTGTTAAAGATTTATGGTGATACGTAAATATTGTGGTGTAGTAAAATTATTGTATTGTAGTTAAGTGTTAAATTTTGAAATTTTAGGGTGAATCGAGATGAATCTTTTTGTATAACATGGGTCTCTCCTACCTTAACATACATACCAAGTTTCATAAACATCGGTTGGAAAAGTGCAAAGATAAATATGTGTATGTAAAAAATACAAAATGGTGGATATCTGGTTAACGAAACGATTTCGGAAAAAATGTTATCCTTGATTTTCTGTTTATTTTGACCCAAGGAATTACTAGGTAAAGTATCTCCCCGCTTATTTTTAACATCCTGTTTATGATGTATTCTTATAAGTGAAAAATGTAAGCTGGTAATACAGAAAGATGTTTTATCTATATAAATAAAATTAGAGTTTTGTCTGTACATTGCTTAGAATAATGAACTTTTTGGTTATTTTTACATTTCATAGGTCAGAGAAACCGAATCAAACCTTATCTCAATTTCTGTCTGTCTGTCTGTCTGTCTGTCTGTCTGTCTATCTGTCATTCTCTTGGTAACGCTAAAATACGCACTTTATTACAACTACTCCTCAATAACTATAGCACTGTCCCGCCTGAAACTTATTTTCCAAATACTATACATATATGAGATGGTTTTAGACGTATTTCATCGAATATGAGACAGTTAGATATTTAACAGTAAACCCTTGAAAATCAAGTTTTTGTCGATTTTTGACGTGGAATTTCTGGAAGCCCATGTTAACCTTATGAGAAATGAAATTATTGAATCTTAACAGCTGTTTCAATTAAACAAGTTGGTTCTGTTCTGTGATGTTCAATAGCATTAAAGTTACAAGGATTACCAACAGGGTGCAGCACTAGCACTATTATTTCTTTTACATTTATGACAACAGCTAATTTGCAACCTGGAGGCGAGTGAGCGTAGCGAACGAGCTAACCTGAAGGCAAGTGAGCGTAGCGAACGAGCTAACCTGAAGGAAAGTGAGCGCAGCGAACGAGCTCCAACATACAGGTGAGTGAGCGTAGCGAACGAACTTCAACCAGGACGTGATTGAGCCATGCAAACGAGATCAGATAGTAAAAATAAAAGTAAGCCTACCGTTATAGGATCGACCGGCAGACACAGAGGTAATTTAACCTTTTATTGATTGTCATACCGATCCGGAACAACAAAAAACAACATAAAATGAAGCTATGTATAATAGTTTGGCCAGCATATCTTAAAATATGCAAACCAACTGCTGTTCGTTATATAAGAAGGTTTCAACTGAATATTATAAGATCCCCGTGCGTAGAACGGGTACACAGCTAGTAAATAATATGAATGTATTGGTGATCTGTATATTCATCTTTTTCTTGTTCTTAGAACTGTAAATTAAAAGTCCACTCAGCAGTCGCATCGTACGATGTAGTTCTTTCCATGCGTTGCGAAATGCTAAATTTGCCGTCCTCTTCAACCCAAGTTATCTATTGAACCACTAATTGTAAAAAATTCAAAAAAATATATTTTACGCATCACACTTTTGGCTACAACTTTGCCACAGACGAAACCTCTCTAACCCAAAAACAAACAAAAATCTCGCATGCTAACTTTTTCATGTTAGAAATCACGATTTAAAACTATTTCACCATACATATCAATTTTTATTAATTAGATCGGTAAATAGTTTAAAGTTCCAACACAATAGTCATCGAGTAGGACTAACCAAGAAGCTCTCTGCCAATTTTCAAAATTTTAGCACAACTTTAAGTACACCAAAACACGAAATTATTGAAGTCATGTGTCGAGAGGACTATCGTTGTTTTTAACAGATTATACTTTTGACCTTCCGGCACTGTTGACTCAGCGAAACTGAACTTATATTTTATCTTATTTCGTTATATTAAAACTGCTGTTGCATTAGGTCAAATTCCCAATAAGTCAATTGCTTTAACATAGACCACGTTTTTAGCTCGGACTGTACTATTTGACTTACTGAGATTTTTGATCTACAGACACTGCAAACATTGTGGTTTTTGACCTAGCGGCACAGGTATAAATTATTTGACCTTCCGGGACTGTTGACTTTCTGCAACGCGTCCTTTTAATGTTTCTATACTCAGAAAGTTTTTATGCAAAAAAATTATTATATCTGGCAGGAAAAATATCACTGTAAGCCTGCAGACGCTAATGGAAATCTGTATAGGCCAGAAGACAATTTCTTGACTTTGCACATTATAGCAAAATAAGCTACCGAAACTGTGAACTTTGAAAAAAAATATCAGTGATTTACTGAACTTGTACTGTAATTGCTATTTTCAAACTCCTTAACTAAGTTTAGTTAAATTATTCATACTGTACTATTAACAAAAACTACTTGTTTTTTTTTTTTTAACTGGGAATTTCTACATGTGTTCCTATACATCTATCTTTAACTAATAAGATAGTTAAACTAACAAGACTACAAGATCGCGCCACTCATCCTACACTATCTCCATTCATACTTGGCTTAAAATACCTACTATGTATGGTCGCCATTTCATAAAAAAGTATTAAAGTATTTACTTTGGGGATTCCCTGTAACAACCCTTTTAAAGCTATTTAAAAAGCCAATTTTTAATATTTAGGTGTCTTTGTAACCTGATTGAGGTAGGTAAAACACGCTTTATAGTAAAGATCTACAATCGGGAAATTTAAATGATTACAAATTAGTAGTTTTATTGTCGTAATAACTGTCTGAAATGAACATAATCATTGAGAGGTAAAATGGTATTTTACTTTTTGAACCCTACTGAAACGCACAGTTTGCGAACGGATCCTCTTGTTATCATATTGTGTTGTGTACTGTTTTGTTGTTATTATTCTGTGTGTTTAGGACTTCCCTATGGCTGTGGTCGGGACAGCTGGTCGAGGACTGATTGTGTACCAGCTGGATGGAACCCCTCGCGAGTACAAACGCGTTGACTCTCCACTCAAATATCAGCATCGATGTGTCGCTATCTTCAAAGATAAGAAGAAATCTCCTACAGGTAGGTGATTTTTGATTACTTAAACATATTCCTATTTGCCTCTTTGCAAAAGATTTTAAGACTTAGGCCTATATTCTTTACCTAACTAAGTGAACTTAAGTTTGAAAGTCATACTTATTTGTTTTGGTATAAACATGCTGATATCTATTAAAAATCTTTCCATTGAACAGTGTAATAGCGATACTTATATCCTGGAGGCCTGTTCAAATCCTGCTTGTCTCAAATAATGAAATGGAAAGTGATAAAACTATATCCAGATGGTGGACCTACCCACCTAGCATAATGTTAGGTCTAGTAGATGCGGGTAAATGATTTAATCAGAGCTTGGAGGTATCTTGAGGAAACTTAAGGTAGTGTGTTATTATAACTAACCATGTACTTAGGTTGTTTATGATTTAAGTTTAGTCAAGTATGTGTGCAAGTTGGTTATGCCTAAAACTTTACTACTGTAAAAATTGTATTACTGTTATTTTGTTATATAAAGCCTAACCTAAAGAGTGGGTTGTTTTTAGGCTATGCATTGGGCAGTGTTGAGGGGAGGGTGGCCATACAATATGTCAGTCCAACAAATCCTAAGGACAACTTCACATTCAAGTGTCACCGGTCCAATGGCGCCCAAAGTGGCTACCAGGATATCTACGCTGTAAGTCAGATTTTACTCAAAATTTGAGTTTTATACCTTTTAGTTTCATTACAGTAGAACCCCTCATATCCGGCCTTGGTTTTACCGGTCCTCTGTTTATCCGGCCCCTTCCAGGAAGCCAATACCAAAATTTTTTTCTCACAGCTTACAGATGTTTAGATGCAAGCACTAGTCTTTGTGGCTGATAAAGTCATAAAATAAATTGTTCTCATTATTTATCTGTTTGTTTATACATTTTTTTTTCTGAGTCACTATACTCAGTTGAGCTAGGAGGCCTAACCTCTTATCAGTTGGTTGATTATTTCCAAAGTGGGGTTAGTACAGTACAGTACAGTATGAGTACATTAATTTTTGTATTTCACGAAATGGTTAAGAATGTTGAGTAAAAATGCATGTACCATTTAAGTCCTAATGATCTTTAAGTACAATTTATTGTCATTTTTACCTCCATTTAATAGGTTTTGTTACCTGGAATCGTAATATTTGTACATTCATTACTTAATGACTTTAACCTACAAATATTTTTTTTTCCTTTTTACAAACATGTTTATTTTTCTAAAAATTATCCCAGAACAGAATTAAATTATACCTACTTTTGAATGCATATTGATTACCTATTATTATTAGATATGAATTGTCATTTTCATTGTAGGTTGGTAAATCTGGCCAAATCGTTATCCGGTCAGGGACTTGGTCCCGTGGTGGCCGGATATGAGGGGTTCTACTGTATTAATCAAACTTGTGTATCTCGCTCCTCTTAGGATAAACACATTTATTGCAAACCTAAAGAACTGTAGCTAATCAAACTTTGAAGAACTTAAAACACATGATATTCGATATTGTATGTGATTGTGTAGTACCATTTCAAACTTTTATTCGTTAAACATGTATTTAACACTTTTAAAACCTAAGCTCGAGTATAGGGACATAAGTTTGTTGAATCTCACCTACGAGGGCTAGTGTATTTATAGCACTGTGGCATGGTACCTCAGTTGGCAAAAGTGTTGCACTGATGACTGAAAGGTGTAGCATTGAGATACATGTGCAGGTTCAAATCACGTACATATGTACAATCCATATTAAGCTTACTAATGTGTGGCTTAGCTGGTGGGAGGCACCACCTTAAATAAACGATGTGGGTGGTGAAGTTGACGGCTCAGGTGGTGAAGGTAATAAGGAATTCAAACAACACCTGTTTTGCTTCTTTGTACATTAGTATAGAGAAGGAGGACACAAATTTTTTGTTTGTTTTATTTTTGTTAAATAAATACTAAAAGGACAGGTTTTAAGGCGGTGGGGCACACGGGAGGGACTAAGGCTATCATATCTTGTAGTGTCAGCGTTCGCCGCTAGAACTGCTATGTTGAAACATTTTAAATTATTTATTTTTTATTTTTAGTTATAAAATTAACTTTTTATTTATAAAATATTGTTTTAAAATTATAAAATTAATTTTTAATTTTTAAAATTAAACCGTCATAACATAACCTAACCAACCAGACTTGCTGACAATATAAAAACTATATAAGATAAAAATCTAATTAATAATTACTTATAATTTTTAATTAATTATAAAATTAATTTTTAAATTTAGTATTATAAAATTAAACTGTCATAACCTAACCTAACCAACCAAACTTGCTGATATGAAAAATTTGTTGACAAAAAATTAGTGCTGCCAGTGGGATTCGAACCCGGGACCTCCTGTACACAAATCCGAAACGCTACCAACTAGGTCACGAATGCCGCTGAAAAATTATCGTTTCGTTACGGTAATCGTGTCGCCTCATGAGAAGACAGAGATATGACGTCACTACACCTTTAGCCTTAGTCCCTCCCGTGTGCCCATTCCGTTTTAAGGTAGCCTACTTAAAAATGACCTAAAAGGACACAACAATAAACAAATATTTTACTGAGTAATTTAAAAAAGGGCAAAGGTCTTGAAGTGTTAAAATAGCTTACAGTACTAAATAAAAACTGGAAATGTTTTTTTAAAATTATTATTCCATTAGGCTTACTTTATTTGTATTTTGGGAATCAATAGTAAACCACTTGTGTCACAATTTGTTACCTATTTAAAATTAATAACCTAAATCAACTATATAAAAACAGACCTGTTTCAAGTCATCCTTATAGTTTTTTTTTTCTCTATGTGTTGACAATTTTCATTATTTATACTTGAGACTGTAAGTTTGTTTATGTTTTACAGGTGAATGATATTGCGTTCCACCCTGTACACGGGACACTGGCCACTGTAGGCTCTGATGGAACCTTCAGCTTCTGGGACAAAGATGCCAGAACTAAGCTGAAGCCGTCGGAAACAATGGAACAAGCCATTACCAAATGCGCTTTTAATCACAATGGGCAGATATTCGCATATGCAGTTAGCTACGACTGGGCTAAGGTTAGTAATTGTTAACTGAATAGGTAGCTTGAGTTAGTTGTGCAGTCTGTTGCTTGCTTAAACTTGAGAAGATGGAAGACTTATGTAATTTTTAGTGATGGCGCTCAATACTTATTGTTTATACTTAGTGTAAATTAATACTTATTGTACAATGTCAATTGGCAATCTATTCATCTATTGAAAGAAAACATTGATTTTGAGTGATCAGGAAAACCATACAAGCCATTTCCGGTTGTGGTTGGTAAAATAATTGTACAACTAGAAATTTAATAAAAATACCGAAGTATAAAGTAATTTTATGTTCGCTGTACTAAAACTACAAGTTGATAATGCTAAACACCGAAAATGAAACGCGATTACAGCTATTTATTTAGTGCAATTTGTTTGCTCCGTGTCGTGTTTTTTTTCTTACGACTATAGTATATTCCTATTCCTGTCTTATTCTCTGTAATAAGGATATAAAAGGAAACAGATTAAGAAGGGGAAAAGTGGACCACTTCCTTCTTAAGTGTGCTTTACAGTTTGAAAATGTAATTTTTAAATTTTTAATTTGTAAAATAATTGTAGCATTAAAGATGATGTCCAAAGAGTTGTTTAGCCTCTAGATTACTGTATTATACTCCAAATGGTTTACGATACCTGCATATAGTAACAGCCAACAAAGGATTACTATATTCAAGTATCGTAAACCATTTTAAATAAAAATTACATTCTAAATAGCGTTCCATAAATATATATCATTAAACCACCGTCTTGGTTTATTGATATTGATATGTTGATAAATGCAGGCTTTAGATAGGCCTACCTCATTTTGTCCAAACCTTTTCAACTCTTTTAATAAAAAAAAAAATTTAAAAAGTACAAACCTAACTACAGTAGAACCACTCATATCTGCCCTTGGAATAACCAACTCCTCGGGATATCCGACCTAGTTTCCGACCGTCTACTTGTTTCCTGTCTGGGTTGATAACATAAAACGAGATCACTTAACCCAAAGGCCGATCGTGGATGTTGCCGTAGTGTGGCAGACGATCACCACTGTAATAACGGGTTTTGCCGCCGTCGCGGGAGACGATTACCAAAGTTGCGGAGACTGCAAGCTTTGCTCACGGGTGTTGCCGCAGTTGCGGGAGACGATTACCAAAGTCGTGAAGACTGCAGGTTATGCTCCTCCCGATATTCGACCTTTTGGCCGTTCCAACCATAGCCCGGTCCCGTCATGGGCATTATATGAGAGGTTTTGCTTGATGCGTACCATCTAACTTGTTACTAATTTGACTTTTCTGACACAGGGACATGAGTTTTACAACCCTACAAAGAAGAACTACATATTTCTACGGTCCTGTTATGATGAGTTGAAGCCTCGCACGTCTTCGTAAACATTCTTTCAGCATTTATTTGTAGATATATATTCTTTCCTGAAAATTATTTGTTAAGTAAACTATCTGTAACTAATTATGGTTTGATTTTATTTGACCTGTTTACGAGATGTACCAAGTTTATTTTATTCAAGGGAAGGCTCAAACAAAGTTGGACAAAGTAGGACATTAAAACTCACAGAAGTATTTTATGTGTTTTTCTGCGTTTTATGGCCTATCTGTACTTCTTCTTAAACAATAATACTGTACCGTTACTTATACCTCACCTTCCTTAAAATTTTTATTTCCAGTCTTGGTCCAGTTTGATCTTATCTGACTAAATGAATAATTAAAATGGTATAAGATTACCTGTTTCTGTCTGTGATCCTAATTTGTAGTATGAGCTACCGGTTTCGAGGTTATAACCTCATCATCAGGCTTCTTGTCACTCTTGCGAGGTCGTCGAGTTTTATAAACACACAAAACACTGACATTTAAATAAATAAAAGTTACAAGACATTGACGGATACGATACGAATATATTTAACATAAAAAAACGTCTTCGTAAACATTCTTTCAGCATTTATTTGTAGATATATATTCTTTCCTGAAAATTATTTGTTAAGTAAACTATCTGTAACTAATTATGGTTTGATTTTATTTGACCTGTTTACGAGATGTACCAAGTTTATTTTATTCAAGGGAAGGCTCAAACAAAGTTGGACAAAGTAGGACATTAAAACTCACAGAAGTATTTTATGTGTTTTTCTGCGTTTTATGGCCTATCTGTACTTCTTCTTAAACAATAATACTGTACCGTTACTTATACCTCACCTTCCTTAAAATTTTTATTTCCAGTCTTGGTCCAGTTTGATCTTATCTGACTAAATGAATAATTAAAATGGTATAAGATTACCTGTTTCTGTCTGTGATCCTAATTTGTAGTATGAGCTACCGGTTTCGAGGTTATAACTTCATCATCAGGCTTCTTGTCACTCTTGCGAGGTCGTCGAGTTTTATAAACACACAAAACACTGACATTTAAATAAATAAAAGTTACAAGACATTGACGGATACGATACGAATATATTTAACATAAAAAAACTGGAACCAGTTCCCACACGACGCGGCACGGGCAAACGTTTTGTCATGACTTGGGTTGTGGCTGACCTTGCTGCCCCCTCCCTTTATCAGAACAATGCCGATGGTATTTTTACCTCTCATTATTGTAGATGCGAATCGCTGCGTCGTATATTATGTTCGATTTAAATGATGTTTGAACGGGAGGGGGCAGCAAGGTCAGCCACAACCGGAGGAGTTAGATTAGGAGTTAGATTAATGTCTGCAATGCTGAGATGCTATGAGAAGGGATGGAAGCATGCCCACGACATAGAAAATGGTGAAAGAAGTAGTAAAGGCTAGCAGTGCGGAGTGCGGGCAATGTTTGTGGCAATTAGTTTAACGTATCTAAAATACTAAAATGCTATGGAAAGTGATGAAAACAGGTCCACGATGTAGGAAGCGGCTTAGGAAGTAGTAAAGTATGAGCATAGTGTGAGAACCGTCTGTGGCATTTAGATTAATGTATCTTCAATCCTAAAATGCTATGAGAAGGGAAGGAAACAGGCCCCATGACGTAGGAAGTGGTGAAGGAAGTAGCAAAGGCTGGCAGTGCAGAGTGGGGGAACGGGAAGTGTCTTTGGCAATTACATTAATGTATCTGCAATCCTAAAATGCTATGGGAAGAGAGGGAAACAGGTCCACGTAGGGGTTGGTGTAGGAAGTAGTAAAGGTGAGCAGTGAGGAGTGTGGGAATGGATTAATGTATCTGCAATACTAAAATGCTATGGGAAGAGACTGTTGACTGTAGGTTAAAATGATAACGAAGCACGAATCGATACATATTTCGATACATGCAATCGTTTACAATATAAATTTAAAACTGAGTTGGCAACAGCTGATTTTTACTCCATAGAGGGTAAAAACGATTTTTCCTCCCTAAAGAGTAAAAATGCTACTTTAGACCCGCAACGCATGCATTAAAAACGACTTTTTTTACTGCGGTATGAAAAAATCAATATAATATGAACCCTTGATGACTCCGCTCAATTTTGTGGATGCCTCTGCGAACGCCACCTAGTAGTTTGGTTGTCCAAGTGAGCTACAATCAATCTACGTTATTACCAAAACCCTGCTTACTGTATAACATTTATATTTCTGATCAACATGATAAAAGAGTTATTTTTTAGCATGAGTTTATAGCCTATGAGGTGACAAACCTGAAGGGCTTAATGAGTTCAACAATTGGATACAACTATAGACAAAAAAGAATTAAATAAAGACCGTCAGCTGTGCTGCAGATACCATAGGTTTTCGGTTCTGGCGCACACCACTGGGAGTCAGGTCCGGATTTAGCATTTTTGCGCCCCTAGGCCCAAATAATTTTCTGCCCCCTAGTCTGGTCACAGTTACTTTCCTTCAAACCTTTATTAAAAACTATATCAATATCATGCCCATAGGCCTAAGTTAATTGCTTGAATACCACTCCTCGTTGGAATCATTACAAGTTTTTTTTTTTAGAATTGACTTGTTTCGCCTTAACAAAATACCGTCTTAAACACTTTTAGCAATTTTATGCTTTTTTAAATAATTATTGCTCATGTTTGTGGCCGTGGGGGTGGAACTGAAACAAAACAACTGAACCCACCTAGCATTCCTGCAAAAAAAACATGGCCATTGATTTCAATTATTTCAGGCCCAAAAACATGAACTCCATACAGTACGTGACACCATAGATTAAACATACGTACTCCTTTAGTAGATTTGTCATCAACACACATCATAGAACTAACCCTAAAATAATAGAAACAAAATTACGTCAAAACTAACGTCCAGTGTCACCAACATGAACTACACATGGAAAAATTTTGAATTAACAATGTTATGAGAAGTCGACTTAAGTTATATTTAATCCATGGTCGTACTGCATCTAGGTTATATTTCCAAAGCAAAACAGAGCAATACTCCGGCCAACCATATCGATCCTTAGGTCTGAGGATAAGATGACAGCATTAATGGTGCTTTGGAGGGTATTGATTTTTCCTAAAACCTATTGCAAACTGAGATTAATATTTTTTCGTTGATTTTAAAGATACATTCATGGTTTTTTTTTAAATATTCAACACATCGTATTACATATTTTAACTTGATACTGCAGATTGATGTTAACTAATCAAAAGATTAGTCAATTTTTTTGTGAGGTGAGGGTGGTAACAGTGTCTAGCATGCATGCGCCCCTAATCACTCCGATCAGTAGCGCCGAGCCAGCATAGTGGCAGTGCAGTAGCAATACGATGCGTACCGTCACAGAAGTATGTTTTCTGTGGTACCGCTCGGGCACTCGTCAACCCTACATCCTACCCGTATAACCAATGTTCGTTACCAATGTTGTAATGAAATTGATGCATAATTCTGAAAAATAGTTTAAATTCTCTAACAATTATTTTTTCCTATGAACTTAAGAATCAGAATGATTTATTAGCCAGAGTTTTTTTTATAAACTATTTACTTTTATTTTTAGATATAAAAAAAAAATGTCCTCTCGGCCGTGCGCCCTTTGGGAGCTCGCGCCCATAGGCCCGGGCCTATGGGGAATCCGGCCCTGAATTTCTAATGGAACAATTCTACCGTACTGCATTTTCACATATTTTGTAGTTTAATTACATTTTTTAAGTTGAAAAAGCTAAAATCCCGTTGGAGACGATTCTTGGATCATACCGTACATTCTTGGTATAGAAATGAGTTCAAAAATTCTACAATTCAAGTGATTCAACTCTTTTTATCAATTTATCTAGTTTGTTTTGTCACAATGAGCTAAAATGCAGTCAAACTAAAATATAAAGATACTTACACACACGGGAATGGTATGGAATAATCTCAACTTCCTCAATTGTGCAGCTTTTCTGCAACATAGGCAGGATACATTACACACCCAAATCACATCAGCACCAGTGACATAAAATAAATGACATTTCCAATAATTATAACATTTTGTGGATATGAATCTAAACCAAGTATGGTTAGTACTCTTTGGCCTTTTGTGAGATATCGGTTGAAACTATTTCAAAGAGATGTTTGTGCAGCATCTGCTAACAAGCTATTATCGGTGGTGTGAACATTGATCTATTTATTCTGTGTATTATGAAGAAGAGGTGGTTTCTATAAAAGTGTTTGTTCTAGGTACAGACTACTGAACTGACTGGGGTAAAGTTTTACACAGTGATAGATCATTATAGAGCAAGCAGCGCCTCAAGCCCAATCATAGTGTCTAGTCGATCAGTTTATTAATGCATTGTCTGGTGTGTTTCAATCGTTGATATATTTTCCGATTTGATTTTGATTTTCACCTTCACAAGAGGGATTATTAGCAAGACACAGTGGCGGATCTAGAACAGTCACAAGGGGGGGGGGGCAAACCAGGGGGTCTGGCGGGTTCGGGGTTACCCCCCCCCCCAAAAAGTCTCCAAAATGGCAGTTTTATACCATTTCCTTGTCCAAGTTAGTGTTAGTTAGTGTGACAAATTATTTTACGCAATGTGTATGGACGAGGGGGGGGGGGCGGTCGCCCCCCTTCTGGATCCGCCACTGGCAAGACAGTGACCTGAATCTGAAACAGCTGCAGTCATTGTAAACTACCAGGGATGGATTGACAACAACCAGCTAGTCTAAACATATAAGTTCACTCAGACGATCCAGAGGCCATTCCATCATGAAATTTAGAAACCCTTTAAATAGCATTAGCTTGTCATCACCAAAAATGAACTTTACACAAAGAATAAATATGTTTATACATTTGCTGTCTTTGTTGCAAATCTTCATTGTTAACGGTGTAAAACTGTATAGGTTTACAACTGTTTCTAGCACTTAAATACATATTGGCACTAAATGATTCAAGTAATCCTATGTTATCAAGTGGAAAAGGCAATATATTACGGATTTCCTATCCAAAATATCAATTGTAGTAAATCATTGCACACTTACCTTCATACTACTTTTTACATTGCACTTAATCTGGTCGATCAAAGTCATACTTTTGTTCTGAAGTTTCCAAGCTTTCGTTAGCTGTGACTTAAGATTAACCTGTTCATCTTTATTCTTTTCCTGGGAAAATAAACAGATCTTGAAATTAAGAGATAAAGAGAGAAAATAAATGGGTACTGCAGTTTAGTTATCATAGTTAAATAATAATTAATGAATAGTCCCTCCTTAAAAAAAACACTATGAACTACAAACTAGAGTGTATTTAAAAAAAGGTATTTTTGTATTCCATAATTTTGTATTACAGATGAATTCAAGGAAACATCTTAAAATCCACTAATTTCAATTATACAAGAGTTATCACCTCCAATTAACAACACAGATATAAAAACACTTAACAACATAACAACAATTAGTTGCTTAGTGGATCAAAATAAAATACAACAAAAATTTTGTATCCATAGATACAACACACTTTTAAGAAAGATATCTTACAATTATCATCAACTATAATAATTTCTTCATAAAACATTTAGAGCCTTAAACCAGCAATGCCTCCCATCATGGTTCCTGTTCTGACGACGGTGTTAGGTGCGGCTGCGCGGTTCCTGTGGTTTTTGATTTTGGAGCAGGTATGGGGAGTAGATTGAGTTTTGAGAGTATTCGTTGCAAGTGTTGTATTTTGTTACAATTGTTGTATCCAATGGAAAAGAAACATGGTCAAAAAATGAAGAATATTTTCTCAGTTTTGAAATCAAGGATGCATTATCCTTATCAAGTCAGATGAACAATTATATTGAACCTGAAGAAACGTTAACGACCGCCTCTTATCCAACTACTCCTCAAAGTTAGTCAAAGCTATTAGTCTTGGCACGTGGAGTAGCGGGGAGTGTTTATTGGTAATTTCAAAAGACATCTGGCCTACACAGCTCGAGGGTGGATCAGCTCTTCATGGCCAGGAGAGGTGGACGGGGGATGGCTAGTAGTGAAGGAACCGCCCAGACAGATTGCTCTTACTGTACTGAGACATCCTTTGCAACATCAACAACAACCATCAAAATGAACCCAGTTGTTCCTACAACTTCGATTAAGTCTAGCGTTCTGCTTGGCGTGGACGCCATGTGCAGTTATAAAAAGTAGTCCAGTGAAAGAAGTGTAAATAGTTGTACACACTACTATAAGAAGAAGGGGAAGATCAGAAGGGAAAGAATCAGAATTCATAGCAATAGTCCAAGCATTAGTGGTGATCTTTTTTTAAGAAAATAAAAATGCAAGGCAAGATAATAACGTATTTTATTAAAACTAGAGTACCTGTTGCTCAAAATCAAGCAATTGTCAAGTACCTGTATTACAGGAAAACTAATAACAGTCATAAATTTTGATGAGATTCAACTAAAAGCTTATGTAATTAATCGAAATACTCACACTCTGTTCATAACAGTTCGATATAACAAACATTTCTTGTAAATGTTATATAATTTTTTGAAAGCTGGCCTTGATTTAGTGTTTTCTAGAAATGTTTCCTGACTCACCCATAGCCCCATATTGTTGTCCATGTTTATCTTCATCAATGATACTGTAGCTTACATGGTACAACCATTGTTACCAATATGTTTACAAAATGCAGTCTTTTTTTATATAGCATTAAAATTGTCCAAGTACTACCCGACTTCCTGCATTATCTGTCTGTCACAATTTTATTTACTTAGAATATAAAAAAAATGTTTCGGTGAAATATATCAAACTGCCTCGGGTATATCACAAATATATGATTGTGATTAGGGCTACTACTATATAAACAATTGAAAACATTATAAAAACATTAGTACCCTTTTAAATTCATTTTTAATTAATAAACGACATGTTTCGACACTTAGGTCATAGCATAGACTAACCGGAGTATGTTTTGTTTTATCTATGGTCATAGTCATGTTTACATTTACAAATACAATAACAAAAATAATGAAAGGAATAAATAGTCATATGTTAAGTTAACTTAGAATTTAGAGGATCTTGATTTAATCTTTGTTTAATTTTGCGTATATTATATAATATTTCAGTTTTATATAATATTAGGGATCCTGTTTAGTCCTGTCTGTCTCACGCAAGTGCATACACTCACATAAAATGCCTTATCGCCTACAATGAAATCAAATTTTGCAGAGCACCTAATCGAAACTCGTCATGAGTACAAAAATATAAATGAAAATTTAGAAATTCTAGAATATGAAAGAAATAAAACAAAATTAAATGTCAAAGAAGATTTTCATATATACACAAATTACAAAAAATACCCTCAAAATTTATTGAATACCATGAATATAAATAAAACAAATCCGATATTTGAAAAAATCCTACAGTTGCAATAAAACTGAAATATTATATAATATACGCAAAATTAAACAAAGATTAAATCAAGATCCTCTAAATTCTAAGTTAACTTAACATATGACTTATTCCTTTCATTATTTTTGTTATTGTATTTGTAAATGTAAACATGACTATGACCTAAGTGTCGAAACATGTCGTTTATTAATTAAAAATGAATTTAAAAGGGTACTAATGTTTTTATAATGTTTTCAATTATTATTATTCCGGCCAACCGTACCGATCCTTAGGCCTGAGGAGAAAATTACAGCATTAATGGTTCTTTGGAGGGTACCTATTGAATTTTTCTAAAATTGAATGCAAACTGAGATTAAAATTTTTTTTCTTAATTTAAAGGTAAATAAATCATTGTTGTTTTAATATTCAAAAAAACTTATGATATATTTAACTTGATCCTGCAGATAGTTGTAAACTAATCAAAAGATTAGTTAATAAATAAGTTTTGTTTTGTGATGTGAGGGTGGTAACAATGTCATGTCTAGCACGCATGCGCCCCTTATCACTCTGATCAGTGCCGAGCCCGACCCAGCATAGTGGCAGTGCAGTGGCAATACGATGCGTACCCCTTGGGCGCTCGTCAAGTCAACATCCCTACAGCCTACTCCAACCAATGTTCGTTACCAATTTTGTAACGAAATTGATGCGTAATTCTGAAAATAAAGTTTAAATTTCATAACATTTATTTTTCTTCCTATGAACTTCAGAATCACAATGCTTTGGAGTTTTTTTTATCAACTATGACTATTTATTTTTATTTTTAGATAGCCTAGGTATGAAAAAAATACTCTCGGCCGTGCGCCCTCTGGGACCTTGCGCCCATAGGCCCGGGCCTACTGGGCCTATTGGGAAATCCGGCCCTGAGGGGAGTGCCAAGTAGTTGCGGCCTACGCAGTGCGCACTACGTAACTATACGGCGCTCCCAGCGCTAGAATATTGACATAGTCCATAACCAATATTTCGTAAATACACAAATACCATTAGCTGCTTCCAAACAAAAACAGCTGTTACAACACCACTTGCGACGTTGCCAGTTCAAAGGCCGCGGCCTGGAGTTAAAGGCGACCGTGCTACAGGCCACGGGGCCACGACCTAAAATCGGCAACGTCGCAAGTGGTGTTGTTTAGTGACAGACGTCCCATAAGATAACATGGCAGACAGATGACACCAGCTCATCAATTCACACTTTATTAATTTAAATTTATGAATATAAATTTATTATAATATTGAAAATAAAACATACATAACTGAAAACCGAAACAATATGAATTAAAAATCTATATCTGTACAGTTTTAAGATGATTCAATATTGTAATAGTCCAGTAACCAATCTTTCGTAAATACACAAATAATACCATTGCTTCCAAACAAAACAGCTGTTACAACCACACCACTTGCGACGTTGCCACTTCGAAGGCCGGGACCTGGCTGGAGTTAAAGGCGGCCGTGAACATAGTCAATGGTAATTACCCTCAAGATCTGAGGGTAATTTCTTGGAATTGGATTGGTAACACTGAACACTGAACATCTGTTCTTTCTTATCGTCTGTCGGTTTGTTTATTGTTGTCATTTCGTTCCGTTTATCATTATCGTATTTTCATTTTCAGAGTAGAGCTTATCAACTAACTTGAAGTTACTGTATTCACGTTAGGAAGGAAATCGAATTGATTCAGTTTCTTTATAAAAATTAATAGGGCTTTGGTGCTGGCAGTCAAAGCTAGAGGTTAGCCTGATTGAAACTACCAAAATCAAGGGTAAGTAACTTACCTAAGTTAGCCTAGATGAGATTTAAATGATAGCCACTTAACTTCAGGGTAGGCCACTTTTAAATTTCAACTAGCCTATAGGCTATATACAAATCAGTCCACAAAAAAGACACCACATAGGCTCATATTGGGTACCTTCAGTTTCTAAACTGGGCAATGCTAATATCAATTCAAAAATTAGATTCGATTGATTTTTTCATTATCAGTAAGTTTGGTTATTTAGGTGGAGGTTATAACAGTTCCATTTTATAATCGATAGAGTTAGAAAGTATAAGTTATTAATCAAATCAATATTAGTGTAGCCCAGTTAAAAAACTTTACCCATTACAACCTTAACAAAAGTTTGGGTATTTATGAACTTAAGCTAGGCCTAAAACTTACTCATGTGGTTTTAACAAACAATTTTTTATTTGGCTGCATTAGGCATTCATAAGCACTCTTTTCCGTTGGCACTTTTGGGACAAACGCTGTTTTCACCGCGTAATTAATGTTTTAAGGCTGCCTTTTTGCCTTATTTAGACATGTGAGGATGGCAGGTCAGGCTCTTGTGCATATTATTAGGTTTCTATGACTGTGATTAGATTTAGGTTTAAGTTACTAGCCCATGTAACTTAATTTGGTTTCAGGCACTTTTTCTGCAACTCAGGCGAACAAATTAAAATGACCAGTGAAGGGGAGAGTATCTACAACAAACAGTATCCAGAAAATGATGAGTTAAATAACACGGTTTTATTTGGGAAGAAACTCAGGTAGGGCCTACCCTAAGAGCATTAATTTTTTTGTGTCGGCCTAACTTAGGCTAGGTACTTAAGTTACTTTGTAAAATATGAATTAATTAGGCTAGTTAATTCTTCCCGGACTATAGGCAGATATATCCCCGCTAGCATTTTGTGCATAGCGGACTGTAGGCGTATATATCCGCGTATCTATTTTGGCTCTGGGAACGGTAGGCTAATATATCCCCCGATTATTACGACATCTATTGTTATAGTTGATTGTCTATAAGAACATTAATTTTCTTAAAAGATCTTTTTGTTCTATTAAATCTTTAACCGATGTAAGTTATAAAGAAATATTTAAAAACAAATGAAAAAAATTGGAAAAAATAAGAAAAGAAAAATAAATGTTTTAGACAAAAGTGCTGAAGTATTACTATTTGCTATACTATTTTAGCTGTTTAAATTTTTATCAGGTCATTTGCTAACTAATACACAATTTATTTCCCGATTTTGGTCCCTTGTTCTGGTGTTTATGCCCATGTTAATCCTTAGAAAGGGGAGGGGGGGGAGTGTCCCGGGTTTTCCCTAACCAAAGGTGGCAACCCTGGTCAGTTGGTAGCAAAAATGTTTTCAAAAAGTTACAGTTTTTGCTTTTAAAATAGATTGTAAATAACACATTGATTTGTTTATAGTCAGGACTCGAGAGTCATTGCTAACCGTCAGGATAGCAATCTTGAATTTACACACGTCTAAAACTTATATATTATTTTTTATATGTTCGAATTAGTTGGTGGTTTGTTTGGTTACTCATATTTAAAAATCTGTGATAAAATACCTAGGTACATAGTGATAGAATACAGCTTAAAATATTTACCACACATTTTCTTAGTAATTTTTCTGATATTTATTTTAGAATAACACAATCTATATTTTTTTGCAAATGAATTCATAATTTAGCATAATTAATTAGTAACTGGTTGGAGATAAAGTTTATGAGGTCTATACTCAAGTTTACTTTTATTATCAGCAGGTGTCGGGGGCTTTACACTAATCTTTATGTTTAATGGAAAGAGTCTGATAAGATAACTTGTAGGCCTAGATATATATATATATATATATTATGTACAGGTTAACACGTTCGCTACTGCAATAGTACGAAATTTTTCATTCACGTGGACCAGCGACGCACATATGCGTCGGCCGGGTTCCACCCATAGACTGCCGTCGCATATATGCGTCGGCTAGTCACATTAAAATAGACTGCCGTCGCATATTTGCGCCGGGGTTCTAATGTTATTAAAATGCTTATCTTTGTAACGGTCTATTTGAAGGCACTGAATTCCCTGCAGTGGTCTACAGAGATGTCTGACGCACAACTGCGTCGCTTGGTCTGTGGATATGATGATTGGTGACGTCATATGATAGTTGGAAAAACTGGTCTTTACTTTTCTGCATCACTGTTTGTATGTATGCAGTATGTATGCTGAATTATCCTATGTAGCTTTTATATTTGTTCAGTTATAAACTGTTCTTGATCAATCTGTTTTTATTTTACTTACTTTCACCTCAAAACACAAAAAATGAACTGTCGTATATATGCGACGTTTGGTCTATTTCAAGAAAACTATGATAATTTCACTATTGTCTTCGCTGTAGACCGGGCGTCGCAAATATGCGACATTACAAAAGGTTATTAATAATACAAAAAAACAAGAATACATTATTTACAAACACGATTGTAGCGTATTACAATGTAAATGATCACTGTTTACAGGTTTTCGCCCGTGGTCTGTGTGTACTGTTATCCAAGTGACAGCCGGTCTGTGTGTAAGATTCAAATGTATACCTCGGTCTGTGGCAATGACCGCGGCGTCGCATATATGCGACGCTCAGTAGCGAACGTGTTAATCTAAGGCTAAAATATATTTTAAATTATAATCTATATTATCTATTCCTCAGTTCAATAGATGTACCAGAACACCTGTTGGAATACGCAGAAAAACAGAACTTCCACATACAGGGATACAGTTTCGAAGCTAAAGAAGAACAACTAAGGCCCCCAAGGTAGTTGAGGTTTACTGCTTGGTTGTAGATTACAAAACATGTCTCCACATAAATAAAATATCCTATGCCTAGGTATGATTACCTACGTACAGGCCCACTTTTATAAACGGGCAGACTGGGCATATGCCCAGGGGCGTCGAAGGTTTGGGCGCCTCAACCACTGCCCGCACAAGGAAAAAATGGGGGCACTGCTTTTGGGTTTACCCAGGGCTCCACTGACCCTTAACGTGGCCCTGCCTACGTAACCTGTAAAACTTAAGCTCCAAACTATTATCAATACTAACCTTAGCTTTATGACCTCCTAATTAATTACAGTTTATTTAGCCATTGAAATCTTTTTAATTGAGAGTTTACACACATAATTGGTAGCAAGTTAAACCAGTTACGTTCATGTTAGCTATTACAAGTTTTAAAAATATATATTTAACTGTAAAACCAGTTCAAGGTAAATATTGCAAAATCTTTTTTTTCTTTAGGCCCATGTAAAATTTTGTGCTGAAATAAATAAGCCTACTCTGATTTGTAAGTTGAATATGTTCTAAAGATAATCTATCTTTTGAACATGCCTACTAATTTTGTTGCATTTCACTCTGTTCTTTCCAAAATTATGTTGGACGACTCAATGAAATCTGAGAGCTTCAAATGAAAATACTGAGGATATTTTTGTGTATCTATTCGTATAGCCATCTTTTAAATTGATATCTGGGACTATTAAATTGTAAATCTAGCTGGCCCTAGAAAACATATATACTTAGGCCATTGCCTACAGATTACAGTTCTGTTGTAATATACAATGGTATGTATTTTATAGGGTTGTTCGAGTTGGGGTTATCCAGAACTGTATTGTGGCTGACACGTCAGAGCCGGTCGCCACTCAAAGAGATGCGATACACAACCTCATTGCCAAAATAATCCACTCGGCTGCCGAGTGTAAGGTCAATGTCCTCTGTCTACAGGAAGCATGGAGTAAGTCTAGTGTAGTGGACCAAATTACCAATATAACACTTTCCAAGGATTGGGAAGTAACATCTTGTTTGTGTTATGTATTTGTTGTAGTAAATCTGTGTATTGCCACTATATAATGCAGTTACAGCCATAATTCATCAGCGCTCAGAAATCAAGCATTTGAAGCAAACCAGCATTGCTAAACTGAGTGTCTGCCGTATTAATTTTGAGCTCATCAATTGATGAGCTGAACAAATTATTCCACTGAATCTTTTTTGGTATGTGTCAAGTCACACCATTGGAATTTTAACACTTCACCATAAACAGTACTTGGTGATGACCAATAGGAGTGTTTGATAAAAGTAGTAGGTTGGTTATATTTCAAGCACCATAAAAAATTAATTTTGAAGCAACATCATTTTACAGCAATGCCATTTGCTTTCTGCACCAGAGAGAAACTTCCGTGGCTGGAATTTGCTGAATCAGCAGAACGAGGACCAACGACACGATTCCTTCAGAAAGTAAGCTTAGTATAAATAGTACTCTCTATCTTCACACTTTCACTAATACTTAGGATTGCACTGTATTTAAAATCAGCTTATAGTATTTAATTTCAATTTATTAGCAAATTTCCCTATAGTGAAGAAGTTTTTACTGTAGGTAGAACAACAAGACCTAGACCCGGGACCAATTTACTTTTTCATTTTTATGTCCCCATAAGTAAAAAAGCACTATTTGTGAATGTAATAACTCGAGTTATCTTTGTCCGATTTTATTTTGCATGAATGTGTAGGGCTGGAATAGCCTAATCTTGACTCTAATGATAACTTGTCATTCAATAAAAATTGAGGATTTTCTTTAGACGGTTTATATATTTCGTACTAGTGGCGAATAGTGAACATATTTTTGGGATGCGTCAAGATTAGCGTAAGGTTAGGATAAGTAGTTTTAAGTAGACACCTGTACCGTACTCTATCTCAGTTTGGCTGCTCATATTCAAAGGGTAATTTGTGCTGAATGCTACTTTTACATTATAGAGATCACAATTTTTTATTGTTTACATTGAGTCAAAAAAATATAGCTATTACGATACTAATTTTTTCTTCATATTCATTATTTCCCCCCTCCCTAAAAATTGGATCAAATTATGTTTTAAGTTTGCCAAAGAGTTCAATATGGTGATTGTGTCACCGATTCTGGAACGAGAAGAAAACACTGATTTGATCTGGAACACGGCAGTGATAATTGATAACCATGGAATCGTAAAGGGAAAACATCGCAAGAATCACATTCCCAGGGTTGGCGACTTCAATGAGTCTACATATTACATGGAAGGAAACACTGGCCATCCCGTCTTTAAGGTGAGTACTATAGGCTTTTCTGTAAAGGGCACTTGTCAAATTAATACATTAACAAGAGATTTAATTAGTATAAAAACTGTTAAATGCACCTAGCCTAATCAAAATGAAATATGAACAAGTCTAAAGAGCTGACCAGTAGCAAAATTCTGAGATAAAACATTTGATTACAGTGTCAATAAAAATTCAAAACTGTTTTTGTAAAACTTTTGCGAAACAGTATTATTTTATTTTACCTGCATTTCATCTTAAGTTAATTTTAGAATTATCTATCTATATAGGTACTTAATACAGTTCGGTAAGAGTCTCTCTAATATTCCTTTTTCACCGTCCTACTTAACGGATATTTACAATTGAGGTTTCATTTTAAAGCTTATTATCTAGCGCAGGGACGAATAGTAAGTAAAAAGGTAATTTTCTTTAGGGCTTCGTCTTCCCCAGCACAGAACACATGTTTTATATGTTTTATTTATTTCTATAGGATGCTTTTAAAAGTCCAGGTGCTGCTGACCTACGTATTATTACCTTATTACCTTCAGTCAAGTTTTTAATCACAGTCAATGAAAATCATCATACAGTTGTAAACAAGTGAAGAAATAGTTTATAAACGGTAAAACCACAACACTCGGATTTGAGAAGTAAATATTCGTTTGTTTTGATTAATTTAATTCACATGTTTCAGCTGATCAAATTAACGTAAATAAACATTTCAAGTTTAAATTACTTGCTAAATGATATAATAAATCTTTAACAAAAAAGGACTGAAAAATTAGTGATTTGTATCTTTTTTGCGTATAGTGGGCAAAAAAGCTTTAAAATGACACCTCATTTATGGAAATTGGCGATGAATTAAGGAAGTTATGGCGTACCAACAAAAAAAGTACTTAAGAAATTATGATATAGAGGCTATATAATATAGAATAATGCGTAATTAGCGCACGACCCCCTTGTCGTGATTAATTGTCTTTTCTGTAAAATCATAACTTTTTTTACAAATTATGTTTGGATATATCAATTAAATCCTTAGGATTGATTTAAAACAAAGTAATAAAGGTTTTAATACATTCTCACAGTTTATTATGTTACGCATGAAAATTGTTTTCAATTTGAAATTCAAAGATACAATCAAACTTGAGATTTTAGTCATCAGATATGATCATTAAGCCTACTGCATTAACGCACATTGTTGTAGTTTCTCTTAGTCTTGTGTTTGCAGACAGAGTTTGGTAATATTGCAGTGAACATCTGCTATGGCCGTCATCATCCTCTCAACTGGCTCATGTTTGGTCTGAACGGAGCTGAGATTGTGTTTAACCCATCTGCTACGGTTGGCAGGCTTAGGTAAGTCAAAAACATTCGCTATGTTTTAGGGATGAGAATTAAAATTGGCACAATACAAAAATCTTAATATCTTGTTTTCCTTGTTCAAGAGAGTAATTATACTATTTGTAAACTAATGTATAGTAGCATTACTCATTATTACTAAATTGTATATAATTATTGTTTTCATAATTTTAGAAAAATGTGATACAGGTACCATAATATCTCTGGTTTCCCAGAGACTAAAGTAATGAAAAAGTCTCTTCTATTGAAGACATTCATTTTACAATCATGGTTGCTCAGTGGAAGCATTTTGGTTTTTGCTTTAAACGAGGAGATTGAGGCCATTGGTTCTTCTATGTGTATTTTACTGTAATGGTCCTTCACTGCATTTAGATTACTGAACGGACCAATACCTCTATAGTGACGCCCACAAAAGTGATTTGACACCTAGTTAGATTGCACTCAAAATAATTAAAGTTAAACCTTGCATACTTCCAAAACTTTTCTTTTGCAATCTCAATTTCGTTTTAACATTCAAACAATAAATCCCTCACTGTATGATTCTAAATAAAAACATATTTCATTCTGCTTTTTGAATGGAAGGGGGAATTAAATATGAATATGACCCTTTCCCTAAAAATGCTACTGGAAGAGCCACTAAAAAGAGAGATTGCCAAATTGAAGGGTAACCTGAATGATTGCAGTGAGCCGTTGTGGAGTTTGGAAGCTCGGACAGCAGCCATTGCCAACAACTACTACACCTGCGCCATCAACAGAGTAGGTACAGAGACATTCCCTCACGAGTTCACCTCGGGAGACGGGAATCCTGCTCACAACAGCTTTGGTCACTTCTACGGCTCCAGCTACATCACTGCTCCTGACGGCTCTCGAACCCCGGTAGGCAGCTGTAGAAAATATCTTTCATTTGGTACCAAACGCGTGTAATACAGGCCAGTAGTATGGTCAGGCTAGCTGTCAGGTTTTGCAAAAGCTTTTTAATATATCAAATCAAATCAATTTATTGTTTTAGACATTTCACAATGCATTAACAATCGTCACAAAATACATAATGCTGTTATTAATACAGCAAATGAATACTTACATCTAATCAATCAATATAATAAGATCTAGTATACAAGATTATCTTGGTTTTAGTAATATGTGTATTGGATCTAAATGACAGTAAAAGCTCTGTGCAAGCAAGTAAAATAATCTGTGTCAAAAGGAGTCTTTTTAGGCCTTAGTATCTCAGTATCTTTAAAGTCGGTCTGAAGATGGCGACCATAGAGTGCCTAAATACCGCCAATTATATTATTATATAATACCGGCATATAATTTGTTGGAGACAGTAAATAAACTCATATTAAAAAGGAACGCTTTATCATGTTTAACATGTAAGAACATGGATAGCAAGCAGGGCGTAATTAATGGCATAAGATTGGTTTTAGCTCACTTGGGCAACAGCACTATCACAGCAAAATTTACTGACTCCGTTCAAACTATCGTCAAACTACGCAATATGACGTAGGCCTAGTCCTTTCAAAATGATTAAGAAGCAATTTCCCATAAAAGTTGTCTTTGCATAACTATAAATTAGGCAAAGGGATAGACACAATCAAAGGAAGGATTGTATGTGCCAGACTCTGATTTTTCAAATGGTCAGTTGTAAACAGCATTTTCAAGGGTTTAATCTCTCGGTGACAACTATGTCTGGATAAAACAAACCTACTAACAGATGACCATATCATCACTCCAAACATAGTGTGCAAAGGAGTCATGTTAACCTGTAAATACCTTACCTTATATTTTGAAAAGAAATAAGTAATCTGAAAATGTAAACACGGTATTCTTTACTTCATCTTATACCCAAAACAAAGGCGCACAAACTACATGGTACTAGCTGTGTGTACTATTAAGTGGGATGTGAGGAGAATACAGTGTCAATGATTCAAATGGGTCGGCTAGTAAATATATTATGATGTTTGGGAGAAGGGGGGGTTAAGCAATTTCTGAACCAGGGCGCTCCTAAGCTGGATACGCCACTGTCAGTTTGTGTCTGAATAGTGAATTTATTTTGTATGTTTCTGTATTGTCATTGAAAGAATTTGTGAATTGGAGTGACTTAATCTATATATTTTAATGTGCCTATACTATTCTATACCTGGCTTGTAAACTATTTGACTTGTTTATAACTAAAAATGTTCAACAATACGGTAATATTTTGGGTGTTTGACTGCAGATCCTTTTTCTGCTAAAGCTCAAAGTATCAATTTGTCCAAAATTTTATCTCATGTATTTTCTTAATAGATGGGTCCAACCATGAAATTGAACGAACTGTGGTGTATAATGGACTCACAATTTTAATCATCAGCTTTATGCTTGTCATAAGGCCTAAAAGTAAATTAAAATCAGTCTTAACATTTAAAATATTCACTATTCTATGTAGTCTATATAATCTCACTTCCTTTGTTTTATAGTCCTTGAGTAGGACAACAAGTGGACTTCTCTTCGCAGATTTGGATCTAAATATGTGTAGACAAGTAAAGGATTCTTGGGGCTTCAGGGTAAGTTTAGTTTGAATTGTATCATTATTCATAATAAACTTATCTGCAAGACTACTAGGGACGTAAACATTGCTGAATGTTGTAGATAAGAAATCTTTAATAAATCATGATCTATATTAAATTATTAGGGCTGTCTTTTCAACGATTTTCATTCAATCACACTGTTTTTGTATTATACAGCACATCTTTCCATAGGTTTTTGAGACTATGTGGATCATAATTGAAGCACCAATTTGATAATAAAAAAGATGATTGACTTAGCCTACAGTAAGTTAACAGTTTGGGTTTTTAGTGTAGCATCAAGATCTAAAAGTTATGGTTAGCTGAAAAGATGTTACTTAATACCTTAATTGTTTTACATTAGTTATTATCTTCAACTTGTATATCAATACGTAAAGGAGTTTTTTGCCCTAAAATTCTGAATCGACCACGAGTCAGTTTGGCAGGGCCGGCTAGAGGGTGGGGTAGAGCCCCGGTCAAATGTAAAATCTTTTCTGTACTGTACGTAAATGTAATCTGCTAAAGTAAAAAAAAAAAATAGTATGGTTTTCCAGTTCACTAAGTAATTTTTGACTTACCGGTAATTGTTTAGTTAAATTCTTGACTTGAATAAAGTTGCAACTCTGAGAGCACGAGAATTAATCAAACTACCAAGCATTGTTATGTTATGTTGCTCTCAAGATCAAAAAGATGTGTATTGTTATTTGTATTAAAAAAACGGGATGGAGGCGGCTAGACACTAAATCAGGAAAATAGGGGGCCCGGGAACGCTCAGCCCAGGGGCCCGGGAACGCTCAGCCCAGGGGCCTGTGACGGCTTTCGCCGGCCCTGCAGTTTTGCAACATTCTTCTGTTGAAGTGAAGATAATTTTGAGAGGAGCGGAATGTCAAAACCATAATTTTAATTTTTGAATTAACGCTTTTGTAAATTTAACTAAACATTTTTAAAATTCCAGCTGACGCTGAGATTTTAAGTTTTGTTTCAGTGTATTATGTGTATGATAATGTTTTTGACTGTAGCTCGTAAAAAATTGCTTGTTTAGTATGTTAACCAGTACAGTTTTAATGACTACCTAATCCCCTTTTGTAGGACTGGTCCACAGGTAGTCACAATTATTTTATGATATTCTTGTCCTCAAATAATGATTGCAAATGCTAAAGATATTTTTTAAACCCTACAAACTAAACATAGACTTTATTGTTCATGTACAACAGCAAATACTTTATTTATGATTTGCATATGATTTTTTTTGTATATTATGAGATGACTGAATATGCTGTCCCCAGATGACAATGCGACTGGACATGTATGCTGAAGAACTGGCAAAAGCAGCAACCTCTGACTACAAACCTCAGATCATAGAGTGAACATCGTAAAGGTTTGGCTGTTTACAAGGGTTTGTTATAATCAATGTCTAACAAATAATTAACAGTTATAAAGTAAATGGGTGAAAGGTAGATCTACAAACCGAATATGATTAGGATGATCAAATCAAAATGTACTAATGGTACTACCTATAACAATATCATTCATCTAAAGATGAACCGTCTGGATGTGGTTTAGTTTACTATTGTATCTTTAACAAATTTGTATGGTCGCCATTTTAGAATAAAGTATTAAAGTACAATTAGAACTACACAGTATCAAGTCCTTTAAATGGTCCAAAGGTGTAAATTACTGTGATAACTGTTTGTTGACATTTGAAACCACTCCTTGTAACCACAGGAGGGTTTTGTACTGAAAACATATTTTTTCCTTAATGTATTAATGTTGATTTTACACATGAAAATATTTAAAAATTGTATGTTTCATAATCTTCTTTTACTATAGTCCGTTAACAAAATTTAGATGGTTTGTGGGGAAGGTCCTCCACCACTTTTTTCTGCATAATGTATGTTGCAGATTGACATTTTGACAAATCTCAGCTGTTGAGCTATGTTTTAATGGCAGGAACAAGACAAGGAGGGGATAGATTTCTTTCCCTAAAACCGCCTTTTGTGAAAGATCCATAGTTGCACTGTTTGTTCTTGGATGGTTATGTTTAATTTAAAACATGTGATACAAGGTTTAGGTTGTACAAATTAACTAGTCAACAAGTGTAAATAAACATGTAACAATCCTATTTGTAAATAGTACAAATCAATGCCTACATTCTAACTAGCATTTAAAAGCCTACATACAAGGGCTATCCAGAAAATAGGTTACATTTTGGAATTAAGGATAAAAAACGTCTTGGAAAAATATATTACTATTCACAAATGAAAGCCACACTTAATACTACTTTTCAACATAATAACCTTTCAAATTAAGGCGCTTGTCGTAACGTCGAAGGAGCTTAGAAATTCCTTTGTCGTAGAATTTGGCCATCTGCGTCTCCAACCACTTGGTTACCTCTTCTTGTAGCTGTGCTTCGTTATCAAAACACTGCATAGCCAGCCACTTCTTCACTGCTAGGAATAAGTGAAAGTCGCTCGGTGCCAGGTCGGGACTGCACGGCGGATGAGGAAACAGCTCCCACTTAAAAGATTCAAGAACTTCGCGAGTGACATTCGTTGTCGTGAATCAACAAGATCTTTTGAGCTTAACTTTCCCCAGTGCTTGTTTTGTATCGCTCTTTAAGGTTTTGCAGAGATTGGCATTACCTTTGAAAGTTTATTGTAGTGCCTCATTCCAGGAAGTCCACAAAATTTACCCAAAAAGCAGTTGCCATCACCTTCCTTGCCGACATTATTTTTGTTTGCATTAATTTCTTGGGTTGGGGGGAAATTTGTGTGCCCCTACTGCATTGACTGCAGTTCTATCTCGCAGATCACATGTTTGACCCATGTTTTGTCCCCAGTAATGATGCGATCGAGTAGTGAGTCACCTTCTTTATCGTAAGCATCCAGAATTGTTAGTGCTGCAGCCATTTGCTGCTTTTTGTGACTCTGTCAAGATTTTCGGTACCCATCTTGCACAAAACTTGTGGTAACCAAGCTTTTCAGTTATCATCTCGTGCAACAAACCTCGTGAAATTTGTGGAAACCCCATAGAGAGTTCCGTTATTGTGAATTTTGTGGACTTTGGCATAGACTTTTTCGACAGTTCAGCAGTCACTATGCATGGGTCTTCCTTATCGCTCTTTCTCGTGAACGTTAGTTCGGGCATTTTAAAATTATATGAGTGGCCCACTGACGCACTCCACCTTCAGTATTATGTTTTCTCTATAAACTTCACAAAGTGGCCGATGGATTTCTATCGGTTGCAGTTTTCACGCACTAAACAATTTGGGGCATTTTCAATTAACACATACATTTTTAAATGTCACAGTAACTCAAATAAGTACAACAGAAACCTCTCACAAACACGACTAGATGCCGAATGAGCTGCGTAACGCCCCACTCATTGCGGATACAGACAAAAACGCAATCTACTTTCTGGGTAGCCATTGTACATTGGCAAACTTTATTGCATGTTGTAATTGTATAAACAATAAGATGGTCATTGCAAGGATTGTGCATTTTGATAATGTTACCAAAATTTAAGTTAAAGCTTAGAGGAATGTTAATAAAGAACTATTTCAGAGTGGTGAGAAAGTGACATAGGACATGTTCTTGTGTTGCACAAATATGCAAGTTTTGTGCCGATAAATTATTATTATTGTCATTAGTGATGTGTCAAAACCAAATTTAAAATCTCAAAACCATGAAAGCTTAGGAAAAGTTTCGGTTTCGAGATTCGATCACCAAGTTTCAATATTCAAAAGTTTCGAAATTGAAGATTTTGGCAATTTTATTTTTGAAACTGCTGACATTTTTTTGTGACATTGTTATTGTTTTCGATGTTTCCAAACAAGCTGGTCGCAACAGAGCAAACATCACCATTAACAATAATGAAACAAGTAAATTTTATTCTGAACTTCAAAAGGTATCTTAAATACTATAACTGGTACAATTCAGTTTCACATCAATATTTACTAAACATTAAGAAATATTGACCACTAAATAAATGTTCTAACTAATCATATATTATCATATATTAATATACATGTTTATGTTGGTGTTAGAAGTTTAATTAATTTTTTTTGTTGGTTGTTTATGAAAAGTTATGTTGTATTGGGTTTTGTTTTAAGATTATCAGTCACATTCACATATTTATGTTATGTCATGGTCAGGAGTCGACCTCTTTCAGTTTTGATTGCATACTTAACATTTTATGATTATGTGTATTTTTTTGTAACCTTGACCTTTGTAACCAGCTAAGTAAAAAAGTTTTGCGTCTAGGTTTTGAGATTAGAAATTTCTAGTTTTGACCATCACTAATTGTCATACCAAAAAATGCAATGCTATGGATAAACATATTTTGTAAAGTTGTTTAGTCTTACTTAGGATATGAGTGTTGGGTACTAATTGTAAGAGAAAGGTTATTTGAATTAGATTATAGCTGAAAAATATATTTTTATGATATAACATATTTTATATATAACATATAATGAATTATATCTTACATCATATCCAGAACTATTAAAGAGAACTATATTATTATGAATGCTGTTGTTTATTACCCCTTGTTACTTCTTTTGGTTTTTTGAAATATACATAAATATTCCTTCAAGTTTTAAAACTTTTAAATAATAACCATTGGTAATGTGTCAGAACCAAATCTCATGCAAATATTTGATCTGCTGGAATCCAGAGTTAAACCCCATATTTTGGCACCTACCATTTGGCTTCTCCAATGCAATCCTTCAAGACAACAAATGGAATAAAGTGTGAATAGTAGACGTGTTACAGGTTATTATCCTGAAAATTTGGAATTTTAATTTGTTATTTAGAGTGAGCTTTTCGAGTCAGAAATCTGGCAATTCTGGGGAGATGGCCACAACTTTGCCAAATGTTACAAAACATCTGTGAGGTAAATAAACTATCATGACAGTGACATAGCTACAGAGAAACAAAAACAAAATATTGTAAATTGTATTACAATGAGCCATGTATGGCCCGCTCTGCAGTTCTACATCATATATCAGCTTTTGTGCTCTTGACGTTAGCTACTGCACATCTAATTTGTTAAGGCTTCTTTCTAATCAGTTAGCCAAACATATTAACATTAATGTTCAGTCTTTTTTAGTGACTGGCTAGTTATATTGATTTTTCAATCAAATGCAATGTGAACTACCTTCTTATCTATTAAATTGGGTATGCTTACAAAAAAATCTTCTAACGGTTCAAATAGAAAAAAAAAAAAAAAACATGTCTCTTACAGCTTTCCAGACCTACACAACTTGTAACACAAAAACTACTAGTCTATTGAATTGTTAATTTTTGTTATATAATTTTAACAGCTTGTAGAATATACATTTTATTTGAATATTATTCGTAAGTTTTACATATTCTGAAAAAAGGTTATTGTGGAAGGGTTTTTATTCAAACTAGGTAGATAGAATTGTTTGTCAATGCAAGCTGCAGGCGCTCCAAAACCTTGAACATTGCATCCCTATGAACCCTATGCTCCAGCGATTGCATAGACATAACCAGCGTAACGAGTGAAAAAACAAAATCACCATGTGAGCTATAATCATGCCAAATTTCAGCCCAATCCGTCCAGTAGATAATGCGTGATTGAACTTCAAACAAACACACAAACTTTCACATTTATAATATTAGTGAGATATATATATATGAATTTGAACGTATGGTGTTTTTGGTTTCTAGGGACCTCAAAACAAAAAATTAAATTGGTCCCGGGTCCAGGTCTTACCATGAGTACTCTGGTAATAGCTTATTCCCTAAATGGAAATTTGCTAATATAGAATTAGCCCCATTTTTAATCTCCATAAGAAAAGTTTAATTTCCATTTTTGATCCAATAAACATAAATATTCTCAAAATACAAATAAAACCTGCACATATAGCACCAATAACCTTTATTTTGGCGCAACCTGCGTGTAATTCGGTCCAGTAGTATGGTCAGGCTATTCAGGCTAGCTGTCAAAAGTTTTGCAATTTTTTTTTAATTTTGTAGAAATAAAGTCTACATAACCTCTCAGCAAAAAGTTTACAAAAATGCATTCACATTGTAATGAATAACAGCGCTGCTAAGGTTAATTTATCTAAAAGACTGACTTAGAGGTAAAAATTTTACTACTCTTGCAATCATCCACAAAATATCCTAGTTTTAACATGACAACAAAGCTGCATAAGCTTTCCCAACAATCACTTTGTAACAATCAGATGAATTGGTTGCATAAAATATCAAAATACAGTAGTTAAATTCTAATTTTATTAGTCATGATCTAACATATTTGATTAGCTGTTGATTCACTTTCATTTAAAAGCAGTCAAAAAGAGACAAAAAGACAATTATCGATAAAACTGCTGGCCATTGTTCGGCGGGGGGTGTTGCCACTGTGGAGGTGGAGCATTGTATTGTTGTGGGGCCATGGGGTCTTGGTAGTGCGGGGGGCGGGGCGCAGGAGGCCCTGAGGCATACTGGGGAGGCTGAGGAGGGCCTGGGGGTGGAGCATAGCTGGCGGGGGGAGTGGGGTAGAATGGGGGGGCTTGGGGAGGAGGGATGGCAACAGGCGGGGGAACTCCATATGGGGGAGCGTACTGTGGAGGGGCATGAGAGTAGCTGTGTGGCTGGTGGAAGGTGGTCGGGGCGACATCCATCCCAGAGTCCTAAAAACAAATCATTAAAAAATGATTACTACAATCAAATTTTTAAAAAATGTTTGAAATGTTCTGTAAAATAAATTTAAGATAAGTAAACCTATAACAAATTGTAACACGGAAAAAAGGACATATTAAAACATAATTAGAAATGTTAGAATACACTGAAGAAAGGCTACATCTACCAATTGAAGCAATTAAAGTCACAAAATAAATAGGTATGTATTTTATCTAAGAATAGATTTCCAAGATATTTCCAAGATGCTCATACAAAGAATGAACACACCAGGAAGTTGTAGCATAGATAAATCATACTCCCTTAGTAGATTTGTCATCCTTATGGAACAGCTGAAGCTAATTTTATTGTTTATTCTGTACGTCCAACTGTAGAGGTTATGTTTTGTTTACAATTTTTTTCTTGTTATTTCAGTCATTTAAATCATAATTTAACTAAATAAAACGATTTAATCATAAACAATAACTGGTCTCCTGGTTATATAACCAAATAATAAAGCACAAATCATGAAAATAACCCTAAAATAATATAAACAAAATGTTGTCTACCCCAGCAATCAGAGTGGACGTACATGAACTAGACACAAAAAACAAGCTTCAAAATTTACAATGGGATGAGGAGTCTACTTGTGTTGCTTAGTCTATGGTTGTAGGCACCACAAATTTAACTAATGTGCACTTTAACTTTAGAAAATCTATAATACAACCACCGAGTGCTAATTATGCTAACTACGACATCGACAAATGTTATGTTGTTTCACACAACCACAGAGAAAAAGCAATTAGTAGTAGAAATAAAAAGTGGCAATTTTCACTATGACAATTTTTCTGGCATCTAGTAGTTATAATGTACAGAAATATTGCAGTAGGCCCTTCTACAAACACCTATTTTTTATGACTAGACTGCACATATTGACGGCACCTTTTGATTACTCCTACTTTGCATATAAATAATACAGTTCTTTCACAGAATTACATGACACACCTGTATCTGCACTGTGATCAAGTTAGTCCTCATGGAAGACTGTCCTCCGCCACTCTGGTAAGGAGGATGGATCATGGGAGGTCTGTGAGAGTGGCTCCCGAAGGGAGGTGGAGGGGGAGGAGACGAACCTCTGCGGTGATGTGGTTCAATCACAGCTGGCGTAGACTGTCAACAGAAATTGGGCTCAATACAATACAAGGTCATACGGAAATTATAATTTTATCCACCTACTTGATTAGGCTATATTAATTGTTGAATATTTTTTTCCTTAAATCTCATATTTTAAATGCTTAAGTTGAAATCTTTTCTACATAGCTTAATAAACTGAAGATTCGAAGCTGCTGCTTGGTATTTAATGTTTGATGAAATGAAAACTATAAACACAAAGGTAACGAAAAGAGGGATGTATTGATTCTTGATACCACCGATAGGTAACATTTTGATTCTTCACATTCGATCTAAGAAGACAATGATATTGTCTACACGACCGCAGGAAATGTTTCTGATTTTGCTGTGATTGAGGAAGAAGAAGATGATGATGATGTTTCCTTATCCAAAAAAGACTGTAAGGTACCAAATTTTAAGGGGGGTAATAAACATACTGCTAATCAACAAACACCATAACTTACCAGTTTTCATCCACAATAGCCTACTAATAGGCCTATGTGTTGGCCATAGCTTGGGCTGTGGGCCAAAGAACGTAGGCCTATTTTTAATCACAGTGAAGTACATACCCACACTGACCCGATATATTTATTCATATTAGCACTACATTTCCCCAAATTAAGTTAAACCGACCGATTTTACGAGTATTTAATGCTGACGACAACATAACCCCAAACCGGTGTTTGTTTGTTGACAGACGACAGACGAAACTAGACCGGTTCAACAGTTGAATTTTCGATCAGCTGATGTCTAGTAGTACTTAAGTTCGCTGCTTGAGCGCGTAAGCCTCGAGCAGGCAGGAACGAAGGATTTTACTCAGACAGGATTATTCGTTCGTACGCCGTCTTCGAAGTAACTTTGTCGAAACACTTGATAATAATCATTGTTCCAGTTATCTATGAGCGTCCCAATCAAAATAAAAACGCAAGGACAAATCCAGGTTTTCCAGGATGAAATTAAAAATTGCTGGACAAAATTGCTGGTCGAAATAAGCAAAACTTACTTGTTTCTATACCTGCTAGTACATGGAATGCTCCCGCCGCAGCAAACCTGCAGGCTAAGTGAATTTCCATTCGCTTGATTGGATTTACACTAAAATATCCTTAAAATATTACATTCATTCCCTATTTAAATTTAAATAGCATTAATTTAAACAGTACTTATGTTTGCTACAGGGAGGGTTGAAAAGTATTTTTTATTTATTTTAATATTTAGATTAGTATGAAATAAATGCATTAAAAAATTGATCAGCATTGGCATTATGTTCATAAGCAAGATTGAGCTTTGCCTGTCAATTCGTAGGCAGCGCCACCAGGATACAATACACCAGCATAGCAACGCTGGTGGCGCTGCCTACGAATTGACAGGCAAAGCTCTCTCCGAGTACTTAACGCTTTTTACCATGCGGTTAGCATTCTGGGCTATAGTAGTATGTTTTCTGTGCCATGAGGCGCATAATAATGCTTCAATATACTAATACATTTTTTTAAAGCTCTACTAAAGGTTTGGAAATAAATTGTAAACTTTTATGAATTTAGGGTCAAAAATGGGAAAACCCAATTTTTACCCAATAAAAACCCTAATAAACCCCCCTTCCCATAGTCCGATCAAGCTGGTCCGCAAACTCCTTTGAATAAATGTATGTTTACACCAAATTTAATCAAAACCAGATAATATTTGCTCAAGTTAT